TGTGAGAGACGCCGTGTTTCTGGAGAATAAGGACATGACCGTAGTATTGCATCACCATCAGATGACCAGTATGTGAGCTATGCTTCTTTGAAGAAGGGGCGTTAGAAAAGAATACATATTGGCTTACTTTACGGGGGCTCGTGGCCACCGGGAGATCTTAATTCGGCTGTCAATCCAAGAAATTAGGTGAGTGGTGTAAGATCGACTTGAAACCAACGTCTCTTGTTTTCCGTAATCTTTGTAGTAGTGGTGAGTTTTGTCCACTTGGTTTTCTCACACTTGTTTCTGTGCAAAGAATTCCCATTCTATTTAGCCATAAGACTGCGGATGATGTAGTGGACATTGCACAAACTGAATTTTATTTACTAACAGTACTACTAAAACTGCATTTATGTTAGCTGTGTCCCAATATCGGTTACAACTGTATTAGGTGGTTCAAAAAGGCAGGAGACTTCCATAAGTTTTCGATTTGTAGCTATAGCATTAACATTCTTGGCGATAAAACTTTTTGACCGTTTTAAAAATGAACTGCTCATTATCAAGAACTGTTTTAGTTGGAATGGGATGGCAAAACAAGTATGAACTCTAGACTATACTTGTTCTGTGCACTTGATAAAGCTGCACACATGACGAATGAAACGTCCTCTGTAAGTTGCCCCGGACATAATCACATCCGAATACGCTGCTACAACTTGAATTCCAGTTGTAAAGATGTCCATAATTTGTTTGAAAGTGGACGGAGTTGTCTTCACAACAAAAAGTGACCTCTGATACTGACGCAATCCCCTGTGCGCTCCCTCAATGAATCATCCACGTTCGCTTATAAATAAGCATAGGCTAGATGTAGCTAAACAAAATATTTTCCATCACTTAGCTTGGAAAATTACATGGTACTGGCAGTGTTTGTGAATGATCTTCCAAAGCATTGTCCGAAACAGGGATAAATCTGTACAGATGTGAACTGCTTAATTGTCTTGTTTGTTACAAAAATTGGAGCAGCCCATTCGGAATTCACTGGTTCCAGAACACCTGATTATTCAAATAAAAGTAGCTCTCGTTAGACTGACTCACTTGTTACATGTGGAACTGATGTTCTGGGTTCGAATACTGACAAAGCATCGTTCCGAAGACAAACTACCCTCTGGTGCGTTCGACGACACTAAGTCTCACAAAACACCGCCTTTCTTTTGTAGCGAAGAACGGTGATTAGGTCATCCGGACTTCCATGTACAGGCAACCTCAGAGATGAACGTATTTGTGGAGAAACCGAATTTAGAGGTTGTCAGCCACGTCTCGTAAACCGTTAATGCCCAGCTCTTGCTACGCTCGGGCTCACGCTGTTCCTTGAAGTTTCTCAGAAACGCTTAGTAATAACGGACGAAGAAACCAGAACACCAATTGGTGACTCGAGGATTCTTTATTGTTACACCAACATATAAAAATAATGTTTTTACTAGGGTCTGTGAACAAATATTACAATAATAAATCACAAGATTACTTCTGACGGTTTTATACTGACTTCTTTCTGAACAGCGACCAATGAGACGATGACTGTCGTATTGATGCCTCCGCGAAAATTGGGGAAGTTGGTTTTAAGCAAACAACCATGAATTGATCGTTCAATCTTCAACTACAATGACAGAGGTATTTACTTAAGGGATATTTCGACAGTCCAGTTGATTCTCAGTAGGTCCAGATCATGATGTTTGGCGAAATAAACATTTAAATTTCTTCGACATGAATTTAACATAACAAGAGATTTCATCAACCAACTTTGAAAATATGTCGCCTTGTTTACTAGGTCACTAGTTTTCTAGCCTGCCACAAGCCTGAGTAAAGGAGAAGGCTGAGACTGAGGCCAGCGATTCTAACAAGGAAAATCAATTAAACAGCTACAGAAACCACGAAACATCAAAATCATTTTTTTGAATCGGAGAGACGTAATGACATGGGTTAGTAAAAGGCTTCAAGGAGCCAGTTAAACGGTATATTTTCTCGATGGAAACAAAAGTAAGAATGAGGATGTAGAGGTTTCGTGTAGTGCAGGGGTTGGGAAGGCTGACACGGTAGCGAAAGAAGTGGAAACTAAGGCACGGGAATGCTAGGAATCCGCCACAGCAGATAGAATTGGTGTAGACTATTGAAACTTTTGACTGGTGTGTCAGTAACCTGCCCAGTCACCCAGACGACAACTACGGACACACTGATGGAGTGGCTATTATGGTGAGACCAACATCAACCATGGCTGTTATGCAGCGGGAGCCAATCTCCTTTAGCAAGATTATGACGGCAAAATTTAACTTGAAATGAAGAAAGATCACAGTTTTTCTGTTACCTACAAAGCTACGATCAACTTATAACAAGGGAAGAAGGAAAGCTCCTTCAGACAGCTGCGAGGAGCAATAGACAACATCCCCAATGGAGATATCGAAATCCTAATGGGTGATATGAATGCTAAACTAGGAGCAGATAACACAGTAGGAGGACTCATCATGCGTCTGGAGGCTGTCGGAGAAATGAGTGACAATGGAGAACTCTTCCCATACTTCTGCACTTTCAACGATTTGGCGATTGGAGGCAGCGTGCACAAGCACAAGGATGCACACAAGGAGACATGAATTTCACTGAATAAAACACCAAAAATCCGTTAGACTTCATCTCAACACAGTCTGATGGACACAAAATCGTGGAGGAGAGCAGATGTGGGCTCAGACTATCACCTAGTTCAAGAAAAAATGCGAATCTGAAATCCACTTATTCACCCAGGAACTGAAGGACAATACTTCACCATAGATCAGATCACAGCAAAGTTGGAAGGACCAGATGGAAACCTATCTGAAACACTAAAACGGATCGAGAAACCACAGTGGATATTCTGACTACACTGGTGTGAAAGTTTGTCAAGAAGGCTAAGTGCCTACAGACTGGAAGAAGTTCTGCCTTGTCAAACTACCAAAGAAAAGTGACCGGGGCGTCTGCGAAAATTAGTGTGGAATCATGCCTTTATCAACGCCAACTAAAATGCTAAGTCACGTCATGCAACAGAAAATAATATGTGCACTGGATACAGAACTCTACCAAGCCTAACGAGCTGGATTCGGGAAAAGTAAATAGTATGCTAGTGAAATAGCAACTCTAAGCATCATCATCAAACAAGGCACTGAATTGCAGACAAACCTCTGCCTCAATTTCATTGACTTAGGAAAGGCCTTCGATAGGTAATAGTATATATTTCGTATAAACGGGTAAGCTTACATGAAATGAATGCCATTTTTACAGGCACGATCAATTATGTTACAAATTACAATCGTAAATTAGCATGCACTGTCTGTCAAGTCTCATAAACGGTCAATGTCCAGCGCTTGCTACGCTGTACCTCTCGCTGTCCCTCGAAGACCTTCAGAAGCGCTTTGTATTGACCGACGCGAAAACCAAAACACTGTTTTGCAACTCAAGAATCCTTTAGTCTAACGCCAACATAAAACCAACAATACTGTTATTACAGGGGTCTAAGAACAAATGTTATAACAATAAATCACGATATTACTTCTGGTGGTTTTTAATCTTCCTTCGTAACAGAGACCGATGAGGCAATGACTGGTGGATTGATGACTCCGCGAAAAATATGGGGAAGTTGGGTTTGAGCGAACAACCATGAATTGATCGTTCAATCTTCAACTACAATGACATACACTATCACTTTTCAAAAGTTTAAATTGTTGAATTATAGTACAGGCAATCGGAAGAGATTCCTATAGATGCTAAATTGCAAACCCTTCACGAAGGTTACCATCGAAGTTGAGCGACATCTCAAACTTCGTTCCATTTCCTGATAACAGTTATGGCCAATCGATAAACAAAATATATTTCGGTGTGTGCTATCCCCCACGTGCTTGGACACTATTTCAGGAAAAGAAGAAAATTCTGCGCTGGCTACGAAGTAATTTGGAATTTCTCAGCACTATTGGGTGCCCTAAATCGTTACCAACCCTATTCAGTAGCTCGCTATATGACAATTCCACGTGTCAGGTGGCCCACCCCGGAAAACTTGGCAAAGCTATTGAAGCAAATACAGGAGTTGGCCTATTACCACCTATGATATTCCTTATTGTGATGGACTGTATTATGCGTCAGATTGTGGGGAGTGGGGAGACAGAATCACGTTCGACCTACTTGAAAGCTGTTGATGATCTGAAATTTATCGATAATTTATGATGCCACAGCGACTCGAAGAATTGCGAGGGAGAAGCAGCAAACTGACTGAAGAAGAAGAGAAGACAGGACTTCAAGTGAATAGGGAGAAAACATAGGTGATGAAGATATACAAGCAAGAACAAGATCCAGCACCAATCATCATCGACGGTAGAGTTTGCAGAGGTTACCTCTTTCTCTTATCTAGGTGGCACCCTTCCAACTAAAGATACCGCCGATGAGGATGACAAATCCAGGCAGAATAGGATATGCAAAACAGACCTACGTCGCTCTGAAATCACTTTTGAAATCCCTTGCACTCAGCACAAACAATAATATTAAAATTGTCAGCACCAGTGTTAAGTAGTTTCTTCAACATCAGTTAAAAACTTGCCCTGCACGTCATTGAAAGCACTCCCGACAGGTGGTAGACTTTTATTAGCAACTACTTTCTTTCTATATCGAACGTCAAATGGCCAGAAAGAATTAGCAACAAGAAGCTGCGGTGAAAAAACAACCGAAAATCTATTGCTTATCAAACCCATTCATACTTATAAAGTACATTAAGCGGGATATTAACTCACGGAGATCTGGGTCCATTCACAGTTTTCCAGCTGCATCGTAAATGAGGCAAAGTATACTTGTTTACGTGCCACTGGAAACCGTATTGTCCTTACTTTTCACATGCAAACTGAAACGCTTTATTGAAATCGATACGACAAAATCTACGAAATGGGTTTGCTCTTGTTGAGTGAGGAGGGAAAAAGATTTAAAGCTGTCCCATGCTACCTTAAAGCACTTGCAGTAGACCTATTTTCGGGTTATACGTGGTACCACGTGTTGGATATTGAGCTGCGCGCTTGATTTGAGTTTTATTCTCGTGGTTGGTTAAACGTTCGGGTTTTTCTTCATTAAGGTAACTATTTTACCGTGATTATCCACTTCGTAAGATTTTCGAGAACAACCTTCATGATATAAAAAAATCCGAGGTTTTATTGATCTAAACTAACGGTTGTAACTAGTTATTTCCTTTGGGCTTCTCTGGCTTTATGTTTCTACGTCTTTTGAGTTTATGTGGAACTGCGAGAGATTGCGATTGTGATATATTTGTAATATTTACTGATCCAAGCATTTAGTTTTGCCCGTATCACATAGAAATGTTGTATAGTATCAGCTGGCACTAGTCGGTTGCTCCACATTTATGACGTTAGTAACCACAGGTAGGAGTGGGTTAATTAAATGTTTCACGTCCCATTCCGGCGCTTTCTTGTGGATTGTGCATTCTTGACTGCTCGCTGAACATAACGCTACACCTGTCTTAATATTGCTTGCTGATGTTTTAGTTGTCAGAAGAGATTTGTACTTACTAGAGTCAGGGGAACGTTAGTAGACACAAGTCGCCGGTCTCATATCACTTTGAGGGCGTTCGTTTCCTTGACTACTGGAGTCATCCGGATGAATTATAAGTCCGCAAGATGAAAGATTGTCATCATGCTGCACATTATTTTTTGGAAGTGGTTTTTCAAAAAACTGGTTGATTTTGAAGAGCATCAATTGTGTCTCACCAAAATTGTGGCAAATACTAGGCTACTAATACTATGATTATGCTGTCTGAGACCGTCATTGTTTGCATACACAACTGGTTTATTAACTCCAACTTAAAACCATTTAAGTCACTCTAGACTTTGAATCTTAGGAATTAACAAAACACGCTGCTCTCGGTAAACTATGAGTTGGACGAAATAAAAATTCGCCTAATGGTATATACGTCTTGTGCCGAGTGTTCAGAAGTGCTAATCGGTGCTAATTGTAAGCATGTTCTGTGCCAGCACTTGATGTTCTGCATTCTTACCAGTAAGCCACATTTCGACCCACTTTGTCTTCATCATAATTTGAAGTAATTGGAAATCACTACAGAGAGCTAAATTGTGACAACTAAACGCTACCTGGCTTCATTTGCACGTGAAGAATATTTCAAGCAGGTAAACTTCAGGGGGAAATTCAATTGCTTTCATATTCACAAGTTCCCGCCGTGGAATTCTAAGGTCCTGTGGCGTGCGTTTAGGCATCGGGCAGATAACCTGTCAATAAACGATGTCCTTTTGGGGCACTGACTTCGATGCCTTGGACATGTGTCATGAACGTCATCGCAGCTTTCCCTATATGGTTCTCTGATTACTGACTCTGAGGCTAAATAGAAAAAAACTGAGAGGGGGTCACCTCACGAGGCAGTATCTTAGGATGAAGGTTATTTTTGTTGAGTTAGCCTGTGTTATTACATCACAACTCCTAAGTAGGGTCCAAGGGGTTGTGTGATGCTGTGGAGCGACAGGATAACATATGTCTCCAAATTAAAATCAGTAGTACGTGTTCTGCACCTTCCTTTATTTTCATGGAAGCAATACGAATGTTCTTTTGAATGTCGTCGATAGGTACACTTATCTTCCCTTACAGTGTTTCGTAATTATTCTATTTCTCATTGTTTTTCTATAACTTTGGTGTGGCACATTTCTTGGTCCCCAATTTGTACCACATTAATGTTTTTAACAAAATTAAAATAGTTGCTCACCTGGCCTTTATTGCTTTTGATGTAATACCATTTTTTAAAATTTTACCTAGACCATTTTCTATGGTGTCTATATAATATAAAGCTTCAGCAACTCAAGGTTGAACGTAAATCCTGGATTAGCCTTCAAACCTCTCCACATCTGTATATATATATATATACATATATGAATGGATATCAGCATTACAGAGCTGTGTAACGTTTTCGGCCAGCAAGATGGGAAAGAAAATTGTCAAAAACAAGTGCTAAAATTGATTCAATTCTTAGCTTCAGAAGAAGGCTGGCCATTGTGTACATCTGTCCTGCTAAATTCTGATACTAATCTGTCAAATGTAAATTCACTCCCCGAGGAACAAAAGTCAGCTGTCTTCTTTTTGTGCTGTAGAGCTATTGAAGAGAGTTTAAAGTCTAATCTACCAGTTCAACCGAATGAAGCAGCAAAATTTGCTACTTTTGCTTGTCAATGGTTAAGATGTCTTATTAATCCGGCTGATGGAATCAGAAAACCAAAATATTTTCAAGCAAAAGCTGGTCAGTTAATTAGTTTAGCTATTGTTCGATATTTCCCAAATCATTGGTCATCTTTATTTGATGACCTGTTATCAATTCTACTGGAAGCAACAGGTTGGTGTTTTTGTCAATTCTTCGTTTTCTTTTTTAAATTTACTCGTATTTGTTCTTACTGTATGTCGTAAAGTGTTTTCTGTGAAAGGTGTTGAAAACTCATACTCCCCTTGGCTGTCTTTTTGGTCAGTTTGAGTAATATTTAGGTTAGGCATCTAGTGTTCGGGTAAGGGGGAAAAGTCAACCGATGAGGTTGTGCAGCTGCATTGATTGAGATGGCTAGGGCACATGTTACGTATGCCCAGTCATTACCTTCGACGGGGCAATTCTAGCTGACGTAGGATTCGGTTGGAAAGCAGCTGGTAGTGGTCAAACGAAAACATGGTATCATCCCCTGAGATCTTTGACAGTTAGTTTGAGCCTCATAGGGAGGCATAGACTGTCTGATTTGGGTCTTCAGGATGCTATAAAGCAATCGCTAGAGACATTCGGTGGTATGGTTCAAAATTGTTCTCAATGGCTGGCGCAGATGCAATCACTCTCTTGTTCTCCTATGCTATTACTCTTTCTTCATCACATTTCTGCTTACTATCGTCTTTCGTCTTATTTCCCGTGTAAAGTGGCATAATAAGGTGAGCGACATTGAGGTTAGGCGTAGAGTTCTAGGTAAACAGGGGAAATCAATCGACAAAGTCGTGAAGCTACAAAGACTGAGATGGTTAGGACATGTGTTACGTATGCCGAGTCATCGCCTCCGTCGACGAGCAATGTTAGCGGATATAGGGTCAGGCTGGAAAAAAGCTAGCGGCGGTCAAACAAAAACTTGGCCTCACCAGTCAATGAAATCCACAACAGTTGGTCTAAGCCACGTAGGAAGGTGTAGACTTCCAGGCTGGGGTCCTCGGGACGGTAAAATCTATGGTTGGAAACAATTGGTGACATGGCTCAAAATCGTTCTCAGTGGCTAGCGCAGATGCATCCACTCCTTGTGACTTATGATCTCCAATGAAACTGTTTTGTTCTTCGTTATTACTCCTTTGTCTCACCCCTTTGCTCACTGTCTCTATTATGCTTTTCTTGTACTTTCTTCTCTTGCTTCGCGTGCTACACGGAGTGTGGCGACTTGAACTTCCGCACATTTGTGCAAAGTTCTATGTCGAAAACAGACAGGCAAACAGACAGATCGTCTTTTGTCTTCTTGTGTGTTTGCTTCACAGAGTGTGGCAACGCAGATTTGTGCACTTCTGTACTAAGTTCTCTGTTAAGACCAGTCAGTCAGTCATGCTCACCGATGCAAAATGTTACGCTGTGCGAATATTTCATAATTTACCTTTGAAAATATTTACTTTCATCCGTTTCCTTAGTGCATCTCAGCTCATCTTAAAAAAAGATTTTTCATTGTTGTGAACTGCATTATTCTTTCATTTCTGTTGTATGATTGAATCGCGTTACTTTGCTCCTGGCAAACCCTTATTGTATTACTTTTATTTTTTAATTACTTCGATTTTATCACTTCATCTACTTCATTTTGGGAGGAGGGGAACTGTCTGTCTTTCTGTTTTCGACATAGAACTTTGCACCAATATGCGGCAGTTCAAGTCGCCACACTCCCTTCTTGTAGTACACAAAGCAAGGAAAGAAAGTAAAAGAAATGCATAGTAGTGACAGTAAAAGGAGACAAAAGGAAGTAATAACGAAGAACAATATAGTAGTTTCATTGAAAACAATAGGTTACAATGAGTGGATGCATCTGAGACAGCCACTGAGAACTATTTTGAGCCATATCACCAATTGTTTCCAGCCATTGGTATTTACCGTCCCGAGGACCCCAACCAGGAGTCCAGTCTACACCTTCCTACGTGGCTTAAACTAACTGTTGTAGATTTCATTGACTGGTGCCATGTTTTGGTTTGACCGCCGCTAGCTCTTTTCCAACCTGACCCTATGTTAGTCAGCTAAGATTGGTCGTCGAAGAAGTCGATGACTAGGCACACGTACGTAACACATGTCCTAACCATCTCAGTCGATGTAATTTCATAGCCTCGTCGAGGGGAACTGTGTAGTATCACCAGCCCCATACCCAATAAGTGTATGTGTGTGTGTGCCTCTTATAGCTTAGTACACGAGCCATCCTGATCTATATTGATGAAAATTTGTAATCGTTTAGGCTGTGTTGCCCTATTTTTGTGTAAATCTCGGTGACACCTACCATGTATGACCAGAATATGCGAAATGCGTCGCGCAAATGCATTACACGTTCCTGAGAAATTATGTCTTCAAAGTCTTGTCGAAAATAAATGTTCAATACTGATTTGTTTTTACGCTTACTTATATGCGTCACCACTTGTTAAAATCTGTTTCGTTAGCATAAAACTTGGGCACTGTGGTAGAGTATAACTCCATTATGGATACGATTTTATTTTGATAAATCACACAGTGTTATACAGTAATATTAACTGATGACATATGGAGCACAAACTATTGCTCATACGGCATATTTTACATACTTAATACTATGACTTGTCTATGTGTTGCAATTATCCTTAAAGATTGATGAAGAATTGACTACATTTAGAGATTCATTCATAACCAGGGTGCACTAAACAGATGTTACCTCCTTGTTTGGGACTCTCCAGTAGAGTAACGCCGGGGCTTTCAAGTTAAGAGGAGAGTTCATATTGACCACTCAGGCACCAGGAGAGAGAATGGGTCATCAGTTCTAATTTCTACCAATTCGTGATAATAATTTTTGAAAAGAACAAGAAGTTCGAACAAAGCAAGAACTAGTTTTAGCAGGATAAAATGGTGTCGTCATTTATTTCGTTGCCTTCTGGTCAGCTGCTTACAGGGCAAAGACATTATTAAATATATCTACAAAAACAATTTTGACATACTTGCACAGAGTTCATTCTAAACAAAAATCAATCGATCAATATACGCTTGCACTAATATATATATATATATATATATATATATATATATATATATATATATAATATTAAACACTATTCCGAACAATAATAATCATACACAATGGAAGCTTTTAGCATTTCGCATTCGGAAGAAAGATGAAAAATATCCAGTTACCAGGGCAAGGAAAGACTGATAACCGCTTCTTTCTGGACGCATAAATCAGGTTTCAGACGCTTGATGGAGATACCTTCAGCAAACTTTAGGAGAATTGATCTCTTTTGCCTATTTATAATTTTGAACGACTTTCCGACGTCCACCCCATAACCCGTGTTAAGGAGATGCCTGGAAATGGCACTTTTGAAAGCATTTGTTCCCTTTAAACATAAGCTTTTGGTACATGTTCCGGAAGTCGTAAATATGCCCTTCTCTCTGTCCTTCCAATGTAACTGCTCCCGCAGATACATATAAATTTGTATACACAGTTGGAGTTAACATTCGAAGGATATCTATCGAGTTTTGATTGCACCAAAGAGCAAGTTGTTCGATAGACAGGAACGAGCTTAGCTGCAGGATAGGCTTTGGCTAATGATATACTCAGCCTTCTGTTGATCATCGCTACAATGTTTTCACCTTTATAATCAAGCTGAACGTAGACTGGCTTTTTTCCCACTGTGATTTATTTTACATTTGTGACTTCAGATCTTCCATACTTGTTGATGAACCTTTGAGGGTACCCATTGCTCTTCAATATCTTCTCAAGGAACTCAAATTCCTCCTCTAGTTTCTCTATAGAGCATATTCTCCTCGCTGTGTAGTACAGAGTCTTGAATAGACCACGTTTAAAGCTATTTGGACAAAAGCTATTAAAATGCAAGTATTGTCCTTTCTATGTAGGCTTTCGAAAAATTGACTTCTGAAGACTACTGTATGAAACAAGAAGTTCAGCAAAGATGTTGATCTATTCGGTGATTTCATTCTAAAAAGTTGTACAATCGCATTTATATAGATTAGTTTATATGGATACAATTATTATTTGTTTAATTCCACATACTGACGAAGGAGATAATAATTTTCAACTTGATATGAAAGCTTGAAGGTACGAACATAGATTACAAGGGGCTTAGACAAAATTGCATAGGATTAGTTACAATAGTTACAATGTATTCAAAATTAATATTTGATAACTGGAGAAATAATTTTAAAGGCGAATAAAAGGTGATAATTATTTTCAACTCGATATGAATTACAAGAAGCATAGAAGCAAAAAATTACACAGGATTTTAATATAATTGTAGGATGCTTATTCTAAACGCATTACAAGTGTGATCAGGAGGAGCATGGAAACAAACTTAAAATAACTGATTTTATAACTGAAAAAACGTCGGATGAATCGAATGAAGACAAAGAGAGAAAATTACACACAGAGAGAACAAAACAAAAAAGTGAAGGATTAGGGAACGTACCGAACTAGTTCCTTGTTAGTTGTAAAGGCTGGACTAGTTTCTTTTGAACACATATAGCCCCGGCTTTCCGATGCATATGACGAGAGCTACCGCTGTACAAAGAAGTTCGAAACACACTGCCTTTAGTAGATTTTTGTTTACTTTGTAAATGACTCTGAATGATGAGTCAGTTGAGATTCTATAACAGGTATTGACGAGGTGTTCAATTATGGCACTTCTGATTGAATCAGTGCCTCCTCTTCGCAGCCATGCTGGATGTTGTCATCTAACACGTTTTGATAAAACCTGCATAAAAGGACCTCTGTACGTAGCACCACAAGAGCAAGTGAACTGATAGATGCACATTGAAGTGATCATATGCGAAAGTCCGTTGATCCGAAGTAGTGGGTGGCTAGAGAATGTCGCTCTTAGAGTTGCCGCCGGAAAAGCCTTCTTCAGAGAATTGGAGATTCTCCTTTTAAGGATATCTTCTGGGAAAAACTGATTACTTTCATTATTTTATTGTTTTTAGGAATTGACAAGATTACCGATAAGATAAAACAAATGCGTTCTTATCGCGCTCTAATTTTTTCGTCATTACTTTATTCACCAAAATAAAAAACTAGACCCATGACATAAATTACTGTCTGTCTGCTTTCGACATAGAACTTTGCACCAATGTGCAGCAGTTCACCAACCACTTCACTCCCTATCTTTAAGCTAGGAGAGAGTCGATGCAATCCAGTCCTGTAACATCATCTTGCATTTAGCGGGAGCGAATCGCATGCCAAACATTCATAGATTGCAGCTCAAGGTGTTCAGAAAACTCTGCGCTATTTTGCCAGCGTTATCGCCTAGAAGGACTATATCGTCTGCATATTCTAAGTCAACGAGATTATTCCCTGGTAGCAAGTCAATCGCCGAGTCTCTGAAGTGAGTCAAGGTTAAATCCATTAGTACATCTATGATGAAATTGAATAGAAATGGGGATAATGGGCATCCCTGACGGACACCACTAGTCGTCATCACTTCAGATGATAACTCGCCGTAAGCCCTCACCTGGCTACGTGAGTTCAAGTAGAGTGCCTTGATCAATGCAATGTATTTTCTCGGCATTTCCTTTACAGCCAAGCATCTCCAGAGAACTTCTCGGTCGATAGAATCGAATTCCGCCTTTAGGTCAAGAAATATAATGATTGTTGGACGCCGGTAAGAATGCCAATGTTCTAGAATCTGTCGAAGGGTGAAGATATGATCAATACACCCTCTTCCTGGTGTAAAGCCTGCCTGGTTCTCTCGTGTTTGTGCATGAATTACTACTTAGTGATTTATCAAAGTATGCAATGTAGTCATACAGCAGGTCGATCGCCAGCCCGAATACCTCAATGATGGCATCGTCTCTGACTACAGACAGCACTAGGTGACCTAGGTTCAAATCTCATAAGGGACATAAGTTCCTGCAAGATTGCAGATACGCTGACTCTGCTGACTTTTGCGTGCCAATATGCACAGAACCTAGGTAGATAGTTATTCAGGACTTCCAAGGGCGCTTGTACTGCTCTGGCTGTGAGACCTGGCCGTTGAGAGTGGAAGACATGAAAACATTAGCTATCTTTGATCATAGGTGCCTGCGCTCTATCTCCCATGTAAAGTGGTATAATAAGGTGAGCAATATTGAGGTTAGCCACGGGTCGAGTGCTAGGTAAGGTGGGAAAATCAATCGACGAGGCTGTGAAGTTACCTCAACTGAGATGGTTAGGACATGTGTTATTTATATGCCCAATCATCATGGCTTTCCTCGACGAGCAATCTTAGCTGACTAACATAGGGTCAGGTTGGAAAAGAGCTAGCAGCGGTCAAACCAAAAACATGGCACCAGTCAATGAGATCTATAACAGTTAGCTTAAGCCACGTAGGAAGGGTGGTGTAGACTTCCTGAATGATTGGGGTCCTTGGGACGGTAAAAACCGATGGAGGCTGGAGGCAATCGGTAATATGGCTGGAAATTGTTTCCAGTGGTTGACGCAGATGCATCCACTCCTTGTGACTTATAGAATCCAATGAAACTATATTGTTCTTCATTACTACTATCCCTTTGTCTCACACCTCTGTTTACTGTCTCTAATATGCATTCCTTCTACTTTCTACAAGGGAGGAGTGTGGCGACTTGAACTGGTGCACATCGGTGCAAAGTTCTGTGTCGAAAACAGACAGACATGCAGACATTCAGGGCTTTCTGTTGATTTCCTTCGACTACTATCGAACAATAACAAAGTGTTATTTTTCTAACTGATATGGTTTTTGTTATTAAACTAGCAAACGAGTATTTTGTTTTGTTGTTCTGTCTTTTGAATGTCCAACAAAGTTTACTTCCATCAAAACATGTTGTTATTTAAAAAAATAAACAAACAATTCTCTCTCTCTCCTTAGGTAAACAAGCCAATGAAACAAACAATTCTGATGTAGTCGCTGTTGATCTCTTCCTTGATATATTAATCGATTTAGACAGTTGTATCATTTCAAGAAATATCCAACTGACTACTGATGAGTTGAAACGTAGTAATGAATTGAAGGATGCAATGAGAGAATCGTGCGTCGGTTCACTTATTCATACATGTTATCAGTTAATAGTAAGTTGTAGATTGTATATGCATTGCAAAATAGTGTTTTTATTTTATTGTTTTTTTGGGTTTTTGTTCAATGTGACTTTAAACGTGCAAAGTTATTTTATTAGTTAAACGCTAAAAACTGGCAGCTTGTGTTGTTCATGCTGGATTCATGTTCAGTGGGATCCGACATATATATATATATATATATATATATATATATATCCGCAGTCTTTATCAAGCAGTCTTAAGTATGCAGTTACACTCTACAACAGTGTCCCTGTTGTTGTAGTCACTCTAGTGTTGTCCTTTATTATCCACTGGGACTACTCTCTGAAGATATTCCATTATATTATTATTATTATATTCTTTAATTCTTAGAGGAACATAGGGCTTCAGCTGCGCATCTCCATTGCCTTCTGTTTTCTGCCAACTTTTTCACCCCGCTCCAAGTATGCCCACATGCTTTCATCTCCTCTTCACATGACCTCCTCCAAGTCACCCTTGCACTGACGACCAACTCGCCGCTTCCCTTTCGGGTTCCACTCGAGAAATGCCTTGTCTAGTGATGTCACTTGATGGTTTATTTCCTCAGCGTATGGCCAGCCAATCCATCTCCATGTCTTCCTGCCTATTTGTTTCACAATCGGTTCCTGCTGAGTTGGTCCGCTCATTGCCATAGATCCCTGTTGCTGATCTTTTCTGGCTGGCCATCTGATTTTCAGTATTGAGCGAAGACAACTGTTAATGAAGGTCTGTAGTTAGTTTGAGATGCTCTTTATGACGCTCAGTGAAAGTCTCTGATCCGTATAGTGAGTAGCACTGACTGACTTCACATTGGAGTTGAAAATCCGGATGTTATTTTTGATGCTAAGTGCTGTTGATCTCCACACAGACTTAAGAGTGATGAAAGCTTGTCTTGCTTTTCCGATTCTGGCTTTGATATCCTCGTCAGTTCCGCTTGTAGTTGAAACGATGCTACCCTGGTTGGTAGGTAAAGGAGGTTGTTTCTTTCAGGTTCCTCCCATTTATGCTGGCTGATTGTTGTTTGCTGTTGTTGTTGTTGCTGTTGGCCAGGAATCTTCATCACCTCTGTTTTATCTATGTTCACCTGTAGTCCTATCTTTGATGCTTCTTCTTCTGCCAACTTGTTGCTTTTCACTTGCATATCTTCCAGTTTGTGGGAAATCAGACTTATATATGTTATCGGCGAAATCCAGATCCTCGAAGTTTTTTGTGTGGGTCCATTTTATGCTTGTTTCCTCGTTGCCCGCTGTCTGTCGCATTATCCAATCTACTGCAGCAAGGAAAATCATTGGCGATAGTAGGCAGCCTTGCCTCACTCCCGTCCTCACTTCGAAGGATTCTGTAAGTTTCCCGTTGTGGATTACTTGGTATGCAGCATTGTCGTATAACTGTTGGAAGAGATGTATAAGTGTCGATGGCACTCCGTAGTAGCCTATAAATGTAAATGCATTCTCGCTTTCACTTTATCGTCCTCCTGAGTAAAAAGATTGTCATCTGCAAGTAACAGAGTCCAAGGTGAACATTCACTACAGTTTTCTTTCGAAGCTAAAGATACTTAGATCAGAATGTGGGATTCATCTCCTAGATAATATAAATGGTAGTCAAGAAAGCAAGCAAAACACTGCGGTGGTGGTGGTGTGTTGTACTGATTGCTGATTGATTATTATTGTTATTGTTCCCTTGGGTTCCTAGTATGGAACATAGGGCTTCAACTGCACGTCGCCACTTGCTTCTGTCTTCTGCTGTACTGTACTTTTCACCTGCATCCATGTTAGTCCATACTGTTTCAACTCCTCCTCTTCAAACGATCTCCTCCATGTCACCCTTGCACTGACGTCCCACTCGCCGCATGCTTCCCTTCCGGCCTGGTTCCACTCGAGCAATGGTCTGACGCTCGCGCGATGTCACCCAGTGGCCTCCTTAGCGAGTGTTCAATCCACCTTCTCTTTCTCCTGCATATTTGTTGGTTGGCGACTGGTTCTTGTTTTGTTTGTTCCCATAGTTCCTTGTTGGTGATTCTTTCCGGCCAGGCCATCCGATTGATCTTCAGTATAGAGCGAAGACAGTTAGTAATTGATTAAGGTCTGCAACAGGCTGTTGGAAATATTCTTTGTGACCCGCCCGCCCACCAAGTTTCTGATCCGTATAGAAGAACTGACTGACTTGACGTTGTTTGTATTGAAAATCCGACTGAATTTTGTTGTTGATGGTGAGTTCAGTGACGAAGATTTCCAGATTGGTTTCAGGTTGATGAGTGAATGTGTTTCTCGCCTTCCCGATTCTCGCTTGATTTGACATCCTCGTCCGTTCCGACTTCCTGTAGTTGAGACAATGCTCCCTAGATAAGTGAATGAAGTAACCTCTTCCAATCCCTGATTGATTGAGTAGTTGAATACCAGATCGCAGTGTTGTAGATACCGGACAGACGTTTTGGTTGTTTGTGATTGAGCTCACTAGTGTATCTGCTTTTATCTATCTCATGCTAGTTTGTTAGGCTACCAGCTACTGCCGACAATGGGGCGGGGGTAAATTTCGGTCTTTCTCTTTAAATTCCACGCATTTTTTAGCCTCTGCCACAGGGGTATTCCTCACAAAAGTGATAAAGCGAATTCGAGCGTTTGGTGCTTACCACCGGGCCGGTGAATATGTGAGTCTTTCTGTGGGTGCTGGAAAGTCTTAATTTCAAATTTATGGTGTACATAGTCTCTAGAATCCTGAAAGGATTAAATGGCATATGAACCTGTTCTGGTCAACGTGAACTATGGGAACGTAGCTCTTGACGCTGTGCTCCACTATCTTGTAGATCAAACTTCAAGTAAGAGACTCGGGGGGGGGCGGGGGTGGTCTATCTGCTTCGGTCTGGTCGTCCGGGTTGTATCACAGAGCCCTCGCACAACCTATGAAATTTTGTTCGGTGCACCTGTGGGTGCCCATATCATGTACCAATTTAGTGTCTTAATAATAGTACACGGCATCAAATTCGTCACTTGAATGAGAGCTTTGCTGTCCTAGTTGAATATTCATCCCAGTTGTTTCCTTCTGGTGAGTGAAGTAATGTACATCACTCGGATGTCTCAGTGTGTGTGTATGTATGTGACTGTTTGTTTTAGAGGAAAAATGGGCTTTTAGTGGAATAGCGAGGTGAAATTCATACACAAAAATAATATTCATAGTTATTAGATGGTTGGAGGCAATCAGCTGGAGGCCTTGAACCTACGTTTCGTGCTTATTAGCACCGAGCAAAGGACCGGGTGCATGACACTAACTAACTTACTAATACCCATCTAAAATATTCATAATTACTAGATGAATTGGCAGCGTTGTCAGTGATTGAGGATCTGTGATTGAACACTGGTGTGTAGTGCGTTTAGTCCTTTCCTTGATGCAGATTGAATTCTATCAGTCAATTTTGCAATGTAGCCAATGTGGGCTGACATGAGTTCGAATCTCAGGAGGGATAGAAGTTCCTTCAAGGTCTCAGATACACCTTTCTAGCTGACTGGTGAGTGCCAGCAACCACGAGACCAAGGTCTCGTCAGAGCCTCTTGCCTATTGCCTCCAAGAATTCACAGTGCAACGTAGTGGCGAGCCACTATCTAGCATGATGGTAGCCACATTGCAAACTCGACTGATAGAATTCAGTCAGCGACAACACCAAGGACCAGACGCATCACACCAGTTACTAACTAGTGTCTCATCAAAGTATGAAACAATAATGGCGTATTTCTGTATGTCTCTAACTCTGATGCCTGTTGCCTAGATATGACGCTATCAAACAACATTTACTGCCACAGACTAGCAAAACTTGTTCATTGAAACTTGTGAATTTTGAGGGCATACACCAAAAATCACTCATGTTGGAAATAAGTGTAGACAAACACTTTTTTTATAACTTTGATGTTATTGAATGTTTTGGTTACAAGATTTCATCATGAGCTGACTTCGGTTAGAGAAGCATTGAAAAATCTGAGAGTACTGGACAGCTGCTTCGTCCTAGTCTATGACTCTTCAATAGTAAGCACCCACTGCAAGGATTCGAACCTAGGACCTTTTGAAAACATTTATTTCCCGATACGAATTTAAAACAAGCAATGAAGGTTAATAAAGCAGGATTTAATGATGAATTCATCAAATTTCGGTAGAACTTGTCAACTGAATACTCTACATACACGGATATATATGTGACAACAGAAGACAAGGGCCAGCAACAGATCGTTTTATTACAGAAATCAGTACGTATATATATATTTCATGTACATTATTATAGCTTATTCAAGCAGAAAAACACAGTCTTCTGATTGGTGGTTTCTGGTTTCTCGGAAAGTTAAGCCATATATCTGCGAATCTCATTTGACCACGTCAAGTCTGTTGTGATTGGTTGTTCATATTTTCTCACGGCCAATATTAGCGACATAGACGTTGACGTAAATTAATGTCTACGAATTGGCTAGCAGCCTGCTCTCACCACATGTACTTTTGAAATTACATTGGAACATATAAGACTGATAAGTAAACAAACTACATTGAATTAGTCATGCAGAAAGACAGGTGTGGGCGAATGTTTTCCAGGTCATGTTCAAATAGATAAGGGGAGAGAAAATATGGGAGATCAAAATTAAGATAAATTGCATTACGCTTCAATTACATCCCTTAGATAAACAATTAGTCACTACAGAATATATCAAGAATTGCAAACAGAGTAATATCAATAGTAATGGTTATAATAAGAGTGTTGAAGTGAGTTAAGATAATGCTCCTGATAAAAGATAGTTTTAAATGAACTATTAATAATAATAAGAGGTAGAACAACAAGTAAACCGTATTGCCATGGTGGACCTTTTGGTTACAAGGCGAGCCACTGAGACCTGATCCAATGAAATCCTGTAGTCTATCAACCCCCTACGAAACAACACTTGAATGTTATTTGAGTGTGTTTATTTCTGCATCCTCTCCTACTCCTCCTCCTCCTCACAATTTGATTAAATTTAAAATTCTGTGTTGTGATTTATTTCTTTTACAGCAACGTTTTATCAATTCATCATACCAGTCGAATGCTTGCTTAATTCGAAAAATTCTGCATACAATCGGTTTATACGCCTCTTGGGTGGATTTATCACTGCTGGCCAATGCAGAATGGATTACATTAATGCATCGATTACTACAATTATCCCTTGATAACAATCATCATCGTCAGCATAATAATACTAGCAATAATAATAATGATAGTAATAATTCATCCAATGCAATTATTCGCTGCGGTGTCTACTCCTGTCTGATAGGTTTTGTCAATAAAGGTATGCCAGTCATTGATAAGCTAAGATTACTTACTGGTATTTGGGAACAATTAGGTTCAGTGTTAATCATCGGTGGGGATCCAAGTATTATTTCTTCTACGGCTTCAATGAATCATAATAATACAGAAGGGCGACATGACAGTGAAGAGTTGAATGATGATCAGTTGGAGGCGTTAACTACGCTGGCCAATTTAATTGATGCAATGGGGATACAGTTGATATCTGTGTACAGGTAGCTTGATTGAAACGTTTAGTTTTGTTATTATTATTATTTCAATATATTAAATATTCCCATAGTAAAATTTAGAACAACACATTTTTAAGCGAACAGTATTGCTGTTTTCAATTTGATCTCATCAGGCTTAACTCTAATATACACATACGTAACGTTACAAATAAAAATTCAAATATAAACCAATCATGGTGTTTTGTCTATAGCATAATACGATGGTGAATATAAATTGTGCAATTAATCAATAATAAGGATGAAAAAGCGAGGCAATCTGTGATGACATGAATAACGAAAAAACAGTATGATTAAACAAACAAACGTTCAGGTGGAAGTAGTCGATAAAGGTCAGTAAAAACAAATGAACTGATTATGTAATGTTAGATTGATTGTAAGGGAAGGAAGTGAAACACGTTTTTAATGAAGATGTGATAAGATTAAGGGATGATAAGAAAGGGGTCCAAAATATAAGTAAGGGGTGGTGTAGAAGTCTTTAGTTGGTTATGTCTTAATAGGCCGATAAGGGAGGGATAGTGGCTGTACGAACTTCTTTTGAATGTAGAGTTTAGGTTTAATAGTTCGAATGCCTATCGCCTGCCTCAGCTGTGTGTGCACTGTAGACGAATACAAAGTCTATTGGAAAGATTCGGTGGGATACGATGAATTACTTTGAAAGCTTTTGTTTTCTCGACTACATGACCACTATCAATTAAATGTGACAAAATTGAGCTACGGATTGTTTATGTCTGTCCTTTGCCAAACCACCACCATGGGAGATGTTCACTAACACGTTGGCTAAGCTGTCTAGTAGTACGCCCGGGATAACTGTCACCGCAGGTGCATTTGAATTGATAAATGCACATAGATGTGGCAGAACTGTCAAGCTTATCCTTCGTTTGCCTCCCAATCATTCGTCGGTTGGAGAATGACAAACATAAGTATGCTGCCTAAAACGATCTTCGTATACTCCTGGAAAGTCGCTGGAACATTTGTTTGTTTAATCATGCTGTTTTTTCATTATTCGTGTCATCACAGATTGCCTCACTTTTTCATCCTTATTATTGATGAAACCATTATTATTACTATCATTACTACTATTATGACTAACTGCACAATTTATATTCACCATCGTATTATCCTATAGACAAAACACCGTGATTGGTTAATATATTTGAATTTTTATTTGTAAAGTTATGTGGGTAAATTAGAGTTAAGTCTGATGATATCTAATTGAAAACAGCAATATTGTTCGCTCAGATGTGTTCGAAATTTTACTATTATTATTATTATTATTGCTCATTCGTCACATTGTGAGTAGTCTTTTTATGGCATATCTGGACTGTACGCAATCCTGTGTGATGACTTTCAATGGGTGGTATTTCTTTGCTGAATCCTTTTATCTTCTAAATGTGTCAAAATGGGGATGTTTTCTATATTGTATCTTTTATTTCCCCTTCATATGATTGTCTTGTCGACCTATAGTTTTTTTATTCGGATTCCGCTTGCGCGTATGGTGTGTGGAGTCACTTGACGGTGTCTCCTCAGCGTATGTCCAATCCATTTCTACTTCCTTCCGTGTTGCAGTTTTTGGTCAATAAGTTAGTTGTTGGTCGGTTCACTTGCTGTCAGAGTTCCTTATTACTTTTCCTCCCTAACCGACCATCTGATCTCCACCATCGAGAGATTTCTCATTAGACTCTGTCGAGTCTTCATGCTAGGAGCATCTATGTTGATTACATGATGTAATTTGATATGTATTGGTGGAAATGATGGACTCTTGTCCATCTGAGTCTCAAAGATTATGGCATCACTGTAGATTGAATATTCTATCCAGCTGTGTGGCGCATGCAATCAACCTCTCTATTTTCAAACTGGGTGCTTTAACAGGTCGATACTCCATCCCAGATATCACGATTGTCTCAAGGCAGTCATGTTTTTAAGCTGGATGACTGCGTATTCAGAAAACTTTTCAAACTGAAATCAGTGCATTTGGTGGCCGGTCGTCACTAGCAGGAAAGATTTATTATTCAGTTTTCACCCGGGAAAACAGCTTGCCATATTGCCGATTGAGTTTTAAGGCAAAATCATGTTGTAACTATTGATCGAATTCAGATGGATTCATTTTTCGAGGCAAAAGATTCACTTTCCAGGAGTCATCTTAGCTAGCAAAAAATCTACTTTGTAATTGTTCTCATATTCTCCCTGAATTAAGGATCGAATGTAACATTGTCATCAGGATCATAGTCGAATTCGGTCATGTTGTTGGGCTGTATTACAGTTGTTTTGTGTTTTGCCTGCTGAAGTAGGCCTACCCAAGACAATATCATCAACTCTCGTACCACAGACATAACTGATCACATTTATGCGTTTGTTGAATAAAATGGTTTGTCCATATTGTGTTTAGAGTGATTGAGTGTCTATCTGGCTGAATTTTTTTAGTGAGGGAAGTAGTGTCACTACCAGGGGTTATCATCGGCGAGTGGTGCCTGTCATCACAACCTAATTCGTTGTGACTCCTTTGGTTACCTGTTCTAACTAGAATTTTTGAAGAATTCCATCCCGTAGTCAATTACCAGCAACACTTAAAAATTATTTTCACTAGTTGCTGACTATTGGAAGCACCTGTAAAGCAGGAAAATTTTCAAAATGTCAAGGAAGGTAAATAGTGAATGCATAGGCCTATATACTACTGATTAATTCATATGAGTAGTTGTATACCACTCACATCAACCGATAATACTTGGCTAGGTAGCTGGATTAAAGTGATCTAAACGCCGAACAGTCGTTTCGCTCGTTTGGGGCCGAGCTCATCAACAGTGTGCTCGCTTCGGTCTCACTGAAAAAGCCGAATCACTTCAAACTGCCTGATTCACAAATTGCGAATTTGATTTAAAAAGTGAATACATGTATCACAGCTGTAATCGACTTTGAGTTAGAGAGTAAAAATGCAATGCTACTGAATAATCACTCTTGTTGACTTACAGACTTACTGTGATGACTGCTGTCCGAACCCTACCAAGTGGAGGACTTATCGAATTCCCCCCTCCAAACTTATTGCTATTACTGTTCCCTTGGGTTTCGAGGGGAACATGGGGCTTCAGCAGAACATCTCTGCCTTGTCCTATTCTCCGTGGTCCGCTTTATCTGGCCCCACGATTGCTTATAGTCTCTGATCTCCCCCCATATCCAGTCCATCTTCATTTTATCCGGCATATTTATTAAGTGATGGGTTCATGGTTGGTTCGTTCCCATAGTTTCTTGTTGCTAACTCTTTCTGCCTACTTCATTTTCAATACGGGGTAAAGTCAGCTATTGATAAAAAACTGAAGCCGCCTGTTGGAAAGGACTATCGTGACGTGCAGTACAAGTTTCTAACTCATGTAGAAGAACTGACTCATTCGGTGTTGAGAATCCGCATCTTGTTCTTTAGGCAGAATGCAGAAGATTTCCAAACTGATTCCAGATTGATGAAGGTGTATCTTACCTTTCTAATTCTGGCTGGCTTTGACATCTTCACTCTTATCCCCTGGGGTTGAAACAATACTTCCAAGATAAGTGAAGAAAGTAACTGTTATGTTCTAGTTTCCCCGTCGCCAAATTGTTATGTATTCGTCGCTAAATTATTATTATGGACTGGTCGAGGAACTAATTGTCCTGACGCGAGAAGGCGGAAATCAGAAGACCACTAGGGTTGCGATGATACTTCTATTGTCCAAACACAAGGAGACGAAAATAAATGGTCTCACACCAAAGTGGTAAGTAAGTAAAGGTAGTTCACACAAATTGTGAGAACGAAATATATATATATAACAAAATATATAGCAGACATGTCAATAACAACAACCATATATGGATATATGTCACTAAGCAACGGACTGTCAACAAACACTCATATTATATATAATATAAATGGAATATACATTGTTAAAGGAGACAAGTTCATACAAGTGAAATGGTCACAGACTAAGCGAGCAAACAGAAAGAGAGACCAACATACACACACATATAAATGTATATATGTGGATACATATCAGTAACCTCTGTCAAATCTCTCTGTTGATAGTGATTGGTGCTTCTTGTTGTTGCTGGTGCTGCTGTTGGTTGGTTATCTTCACCACCTGCGTCTTCTTTATGTCCACCTGGAGTCCTGTCTTCGCTACCGGCGTCTTCTGCCATTTTATTGGTTTTCGACTGTAAGTCTTCAAGGATTTGTGACCCTTAGACATAAATCATCGGCGACATCCAAATCTAATTCACCGCTGGTTGAACGTTAGTCCTCTAAACAAATGAGTTTTGCGCAGTATTTAGGATTTGAAACTAAACAGTGGTAAAAGAGCTGATGCTTCTTGGTTTTGAGCTGTTAGTAAGAGGATACACGTCAATGTTGAATGTTCCCAAATGATTCCAAGTGTTATTCACCTACTTGGTGGATGGTGACTAGCAGTGAAATCCAGGATGCGCGTTTCGTCCCATTTGGGGCGCGTCAGCCGGATGTACCCGTACTGGGGCTCAAACCCAGTAGCCATAGTGATCCATAGTGTCAAATGTCAAAGCGCTAGACACTAGAGCACTTGGGCAACGAGAGCCACCAGATCTTGTGCAATGGGTCATATTAATTATTTAATTGAATTTTAGATTTCCCCGTTGATTACACATGCCCAGACATCGTCGAAGCATCTACACAAGAAGCCGACGTGTCAGTCTGAGATTGTGCACTTCGATCCAATCAATCGATGGGAAAATCTAAAATTCAATGAATTTATTCGCCTACTTCACTGCATGACTTATTTTGGGAGTACAGCTGTGCCTGACTTCTACAGTATTTAAATCCCAAGGGAAAATATACAAACAAACTGAGAGAGTTGTCATAGGGTCACCAATATCCCCGATTGTAGCAGATATATTCATGGATAGGTGGGAAAACATAGCGATTGAAACGTTCAGCCCCACTCGAAAAATATGGTGGAGGTATGTAGATGACATTTACTGTATTTAGAACACAAGATATAGATAGATTTTTCGAACACATCAACTCGAAGGTAGAGGCAATTCAATTCACTTATGAATTTGAAAGTCAGGAAGGGGAGCTTTTAATGTTAGACTGCAACGTAAAAGAAAGATGGGAGGTTTAACACTAGTGTTTACAGAAAACCCACACACACATTGAAACCGATATGTAGACTTCCGACCATCCCAACCTGTGTCAGTGAAAATAGGTTAGATGAAATGCTCAAGTGATAGAGCACGAAATCTAAGTAGTACCAAGAAAAATCTAAGACAGGAAGTGATACACATAAAAGAAGCCTTGAAACTTAATAATTACCTGGATAAATTAGTCAGCAAATATGCAAGGAAATGTAAAAATGAAATAAATGATAGTAGCGATAGTGATAATAATAATAATAGTAATACTAATAATATTAATATTAATGACGACACCAACAATAAGGAATCTAAATCATCAGTAGTAATTTCATACAAGGAAGGAACCTCGGAAGCCTTACGCAGAATTCTTAACAAGGCAGGAATAAAAGTGGCATTCAAACCCACAAACTCAATTAGAAACAAGCTTTGTCGGTTAAAAGATCCTGACAGTGGAGCCTTTAAAACAAAACGATTTAGTTTATCTAAAACCCTACCTGCGATGATTGTCAGGTCAAATACATACATCAAACTAGTAGAACAGGGGCAGTCAGACTAGCCGAATATAAAAACCTAGCAAAATCTAGATTGGTTGACCCGAATAAGATAAGAAATCTAGAGAATAGTTCAGCTATACCACTCACTACATGCAATTACCCACAACCATACAATAGGCTGAATGGGATAGGATGACAGTAGTTTTAAAATCTAATGTCACAGGGTGGAGGGGGAGATTGATAACAGAAGCTTTGTTTATCGAATCAACTGAGAGTGAATACATGTAATAGGAATGATTCAACACCTGTCCACCCAGATATTTGGAAAATTCTACTACCGGAACGACGACAAATAGGAGAGAATAAAGAAAACTATAAAAATCAAGTTTCGAAGTCATGTGTAATTATAATTGATGATATGATTATGAACAGTAGATTTTGTTCGAAACCTTGTCATCCAGTAAGTAATACTGTTTCACTGACTGTGTGATACATCTAATAAACACACTAATATTGAATTACTTACTGCCACAGTGCCCAAATTTTACACAGATATTCTTCTTATTCTGTTTTCTTTTCTTTTTATTGTATTCTAATAGAAATTTATATGATGCAAGTGTTCTCTCAGCTACAAACTGCAATCAAACCAATAGTCAATTTCAATCCAACTCTGATACAACTGCATTCTTACCAATAGCATTAGAAACATTAGAAGATAGGCTAAATATCGCCCTACGTCTATTCGAGCATAAAGAAAGTACAGTTAGTCTAGCGGTGATGACATTTGTTCGTGCGTATTTAAGCCTGTTGAAAAGTGTTGTCAATCCATCCTCCGAGAACAGTATGATCTCACCAAGTGGACGTCGCCAACGTAATCGTAATAGTTCTGCTTCAATGGTGGAACCAACAACACTATCAGGTTCTACATGTATTAACACTTCGGTTTCTGGTCATTTAGAAATCAATGAATTAAGATCATTTTTTGTTAAACGTTTGTTATACGCTTGTGTGGATAAAATGAAGTCGCTACCGATTTGTGCAGATCCAGAAGATGACGAAGTAAGCCTTTTTTGTGTGTTGTTGTTGATTATTGTGATTAATGTATGTATATACGTTATAGTTTTGTTATATTGTAACAACAGAAGACAAGGGCCGGGCAACAGATCGTTTTATTACGGGAATCAGCACGTATATATATATATATATATATATATATATATATATATATATATATTTCATGTACATTATTATAGCTTATTCAAGCAGACAAATACAGTCTTCTGATTGGTTGTTTCTTGCTCAAGGTTATTCTGTACTGCTTGTGACTGCTTTCTCAGAAAGTTAAGCCATATATCTGCGAATCGTATTTGCACACGTTAAGTCTGCTCTGACTGGTTGTTGAATCAGTTTTGTTCATATTTTCCCACGGCCAGTATTAGCGACATATACATTGAAGTAAATTAATGTCTACCAATCGGCTAGCAGCCTGCTCTTACCACAATATGATGTCCTCGAGTGCGATAATAAAAGACCCATGTTTCTGACTTGATAATGGGAACAGTTGATTAGCCTATAATAAAATATAATTTTTCCTTCACGTTCCCAGTGGAATATAAGGCTTCAAGCTAGTGGCTTGAAGTTTCTGTAGCAGTGTTTATTATTTTTACAGTATGGGGTTGCTAGCCTCATGCCCAATCTTTCCTCTCTACCAGCATTATTTCTGGCTTAGCGAAGTAAAGGAGTGCTTCTGTTGGCCGGGGATCGAACCCCGGACCATGTGCATGGTCGGTGAGCGTCTTAACCGCTGTGCCACCGACGCACAAGCTTCCTAGTCGCTTATTCCTCCTTACCCGAAACACATTAGATCAACACAATATAGATCAAAAGTAGAAAAATATAAATAGAGGACGGGTAAAGTTCACTTCATCTGAAAGGAGAACAGTCATACTTAACAAACAGCTCAAACAGTATTCGTCAACTATCATCGGGAAGAGAAGAAAGAAGGAAATCGCAATACGTTTGCCATTGATGACTGAGATTCTTGGCCATATCCGATAACGTTTCGTGCCATCGATTCGGGCTATCTCGCAGACCCCAACGAGGGAGTCGTGACGCACCAACTGTGATGCTAATCTAGCACAAACATCCTTCATCTCACGCCGACACGTCATGGACTGACCACCCCTCCGCCTTTTCTATCCCGTACCAGGGTTGGCTAGCGAACAGAGACCTGTATGGAAGCCTCTGGGATGACATTCGAAGCACATGTCCAATCCACCGGAGCCGGTGTTTCTAGATGATGATACTCAGTGAATGGTGACCTCCACTGTGGTCAAACACACGCCGCTGGACGTCAGAATTACTCAAGCGATGATGCCATCGAATGCAAGCAACCCTACGGAGACGGCGACGATCGAATACGCAGAGAAGCCTTACATCCTCAGCTCGGAGAGGCCAGGTTTCACAGGCGTAGGACAAGACAGCCCGCACCGAAGCATGTATACCCGACCTTTGACAGTCAGGTTAACGTCGTGACGGCACCAGAGGTGGCTCAAGTTGATGTATGCCACCCTAGCCTTCATTATATACGGTTGGACATCTCATCCGTCACCACTCTGCCAGCACTCACACAACTACCTAGATACACAAACTTATCAACAACTTCAAGTGGTTCATCTGTAAGCAAGAGTGAGTGTAGGTACAGGCTCCTGCCAATCTTGTAACAGTACTCTGCACTTAGACGGTGCAAAGTACATACCACACTCACAAACATGCTAAGTTCTGATTAGTTGATACTCCATCATTTGACAACATGTGATTGACTTTTACCTGACTAACAGACTAGTGACATAGATTGTGGACACATCAGCTTGATAGATTAATGAGGTAAATTGGCTGCACATGTCAAGTTTGCTTTCGACTGGTTTGCCGATTACTCATCAAAATATTTTATTATGGTGATATATATATATAATATTCCAAGTTTGGTTACGAATTGATATCAGTTGAGCACCATTGAAAATCGCCAGAGAGTACCGGACAGCTGTTTCGTCTTAGTCCGCGACTCATCGGCAGTACGTACCCACTGGGGTTCGAAACCAAGATCTCCCGGTTACAAGGCAAGCTCGTAAACCATTCAGCCACTGGGACCCGATTCAGTGGTCAATGAATTCATGCTAAAATTACGAGTTGGTAGGCTTTGGGTTCGAACCCCGATGAGTCCGAAACTAGGACGAAACAACTGTTCAGTACTCCCTGCTGGTTTTCAGTGGTTCGGTAACCGCTATCAAGCCGTAATCAAATACGGAACAAATCATAGCCCTACAAATAAATTCTTGAAAATATATCTGATATATGTGTTGATATGCTGATTGCAGGAGATCAAATGCATTCTTGTTTTCCAGGTGTTAATTTATCACCATTCAGGTTAACTTCTGACATTTGGACGCTTTTTTTGATTTTTCACCTTATGTGAGAAGTACTATAGTAATAATAATAATAATAATAATAATAATAATAATAATAATAATTGCTTTATTCTTAACAGTGCTTATATAGAATGTATAGGATTTTCAGTAAAGTTTACTGCATGGTATTTCCTGTGCGTCCAGGATCTTCGAATAAGAAGTATTAATTCACCACAGATCAGTACCCACATGTGGGGTACTACGGCGTACCCCAAATATTCATTAGCCTTATTCAACAGCTGTACGACAGCGGAAAACTCAGCGAGGCGTTTGGAGTAAACACATGAATCAGACAATGCCGGTTGTTTATTATCACCAATAATATTCCTAATTGTGTTGGACTGGATTATGCGTCAGACAGTGAGAAACGAGAAGACAGGGATATCCTGGACCTACGCGAAGAACTAAGAAGACCTGGATTTCGCGCGTGGATGATTTATGTTTGATGTCACTGTCACAAAATCGAAGACTTACAAGCAAAAACCGACCGACAAACTGGTCGAAGAAGCAGCCGGCGAAGACAGGACTCCATGTGAACATAGACAAGACGGAGTCTATGAAAATAACCAACCAACAACAACAGCAGCAACATCCAGCGTCAATCACTATCAACGGAAGGGATATGAAAGAAGTCACTTCATTCACTTATCTAGGGAGCATTGTCTCAACTACAGGGTGAATGGACGAGGATGTCAAATCGAGCAAGAATCCGGAAGGCGAGAAACACATTCACTCATCAACCTGAAACCAATCTGGAAATCTTCGTCACTCAACTCAGCATCAACAACAAAATTCAGTCGGATTTTCAATACAAACAACATCAAGTCAGTCAGTTCTTCTATACGGATCAGAAACTTGGTGGGCGGGCGGGTCACAAAGAATATTTCCAACAGCCTGTTGCAGACCTTAATCAATTACTAACTGTCTTCGCTCTATACTGAAGATCAATCGGATGGCCTGGCCGGAAAGAATCACCAACAAGGAACTATGGGAACAAACAAACAAAACAAGAACCAATCGCCAACCAAGAAATATGCAGGAGAAAGTTGAGATGTATGTATTGTACACTCGCTGAGTAAGGAGGCCGCTGATTGATATCGCGCGAGCGTCAGGCCATTGCTCGAGTGGAACTCGAAAAGGAAGCGGCGAATGGGACGTCAGTACAAGGGTGACATGGAGGAGGAGATAGTGTGAAGAGGAGGAGTTGAGACAGTGTGGACTAACATGGATGCAGGTGAAAAGTACAGTACAGCAGGAGGAAGACAGAAGTGGCAAGTGGAGACGTGCAGTTGAAGCCCTATGTTCCATACTAGGAACCCAAGGGAACGATAATAGTTTTAATAATGGGACACTGTGTTGCCTGATCCAGAGTGCAAACTAATGCATCTCAACACAATTTTTCCTTGTCTCCTCTGAGGAAACACAACATTATTTTGTGAATGGAGGTAGAATAAAAACTGCAGGAGTATTATATTTTGAGATGCAAGGACACAACTGAAGAACAGTAGTTAGTCATCTCATATATAGCGATAGGTGTTGCTACACAACGATTATGCTTTTTCTCAAGTTTAGTAGAAACATACATATCAGCAGGTTGTAAACATTTCAAATATTTGCGAGAGTAAATAATGCCGTTAGAGGTTATATCTTAATAGATTAAAACAAACTGAACAAGATAGATTCTATGGCACATATATATTGATGGAGGTTATCGGTAACCTAAGGTTTTTAGACAGTTTGGAAGTCTTCCACACTCAGCCAGCATAAGGAACAAAATTGGCATTTTTTCAACACCTATGTAAAGCCACTTCTGCTAAACAGGTGAGAGAGACTTGGCGTTGCAGACTTTCATCAACAGCTGCCCACTTAGCTGGTTGGCTACATACTGAAGATCAAATGGCCGGCCAGAAAGAATAAGCGACAAGAAACTCTGGGGACAAACCAACACGTGAGGGCTGATCACTCAACAAATATGTAGGAGAAAGTGGAGATGGATCAGGCATACATTGAGGAGGCTGCCGAACGATATCACACGCCCGGCCGTTGCTCGAGTAGAATCCGAATGGGAAGCGACGAGTGCGTCGTTGGTGCTAGGGTGACATCGAGGAGATTGTGTGAGGAAGAGATGGGAGAGTTCTGTCAATCGTGGACCCAGCTGAAGAGGACGGCAGAAAACGGAAGAAAGTAGAGATGTGTTGCTGAAGCCCAATGTCCCACTCGCAATACAAGGAAATAACAACAATAATAAGTTTTAAAGAGGCTGTTTGCCCAAAATAATAAAAGAAGAATGTAACATATAAAATATTTCTGTCTCACAAGCTGGATCGGTAAAATTGTATTGCAAATTTTTGTATTCAATCTATTCATCACTGTGTCGCGTTTTAATCGCTGATACAAAAGGCATGTATGGAATTCGCCGACTTACGTCATCTCTGGTATACACTTGATATTCGACTAGCTGTTGACCAAAAGATGTGTGTACTGCGCACTAGTTGCCTCTATCCTCCCTTATGACTGTGAGACATGGGTATTGAAAATGGAAGATATTAAAAGGTCAGTTAGCTGTCATTAATCCTAAGCACCTGCGTTCTATCTCCATTGTTAAGTGGTATAATGTAGTGAGCATTATTGTGGTTAAGCGTAGTGTTAAGTTGTGGTGAGAGCAGGCCGTGAGAAAATATGAGCAAGGCTGATTCAACAACCAATCACAGCAAAGTTAACGTGGCAAAATATGATTCGCAGATAGAGAACTCTATTTGTCGAGGAATCTCGAAACAACCAATCAGAAGCCTGCGTTTGTCTGCCTAACTTCTGATAAACAACCAATCAGGTGACTGCGCTTGTCTACTTGCATAAGCTATAATAATGTATGTGAAATATGTATAAATACGGGTTGATTTTCATAATAAAACGATCTGTTGCCTGGGCCTTGTCTTCTGTTGTTACAAAGTGAGGTGGGGGTGGGCATGTTAATCGACGACGTTGTGAAGCCATATCGATTGAGGTGTTTAGGACACATTTTATTCATGCTCTATTACTGTCTTCTGCAATGAGCAATGTTAGCTGACATAAGAGTAGGTTTGAAAGGAATCAGGGGTGGTTATATCAAAACCTAGCATCAATTCATGAAGTCCTTAACTGTTGTTTTGAAGCATATAGTAAGGTGTAAACCGCTTGGATGGAGTCCCGGGGGACATTAAGATGTGGTTCAAAATCTTTTCGACTAACACAGATTTACTCACATTTTGTAGTCTCCCAGACTAATGAAATCCTTGTGTTCCTCCAAGTTACTATTCTTCCTCCCATGCATTTGCATTTCTTATTGTTGCTCGTATAGTTTGTTTCAAGTTTGGTCACGGATTGTTGTTTGTTAGAGAGCTATTGAAAGCCGACTATGAGGGAGTACTAGACTGTTGTTTTCGTTCTAATTTGAGACTCTTCATCAGTACGCACCCACAGAGATGCTGTCCAGTTGGTCGAATTCGTGACTTTTGCTTAGCCTCCGGTCCTTTTTCTTTGGTGATCTGATTGACGCCACTGATTATAGCGTCTCACAAGAGCTCCAGGCAGCTTCGTCGGGTAGCGAGCATCAGATTAATTGTGAAGAGTTATTTCGTAGGGATTTAATTGATTTTTCTATTGATTTCTTTCTCCTTTTTTTGCAGAGTGAATACGAAGAATATCGTCATGATCTGCGTACATTAATTGGCAATATTACTCAATTAGATAGTAGATTTGTATTGGATACTATTCATCAATTAGTTAGACATTCTCATCATACACTGAGCTCATGTGCTGTGAAAAATATTCCGCTTACTTCAGAAAATTTACAACAAATTGATGTCACTTTAAATTTATTCTACTTATTTGGAGAAAATTGTAAGGTATGTGTTTCTTATATATATACCTCACTGTTATTAACTGTTTGCGTGTTTGTGTGTAGTGTGTGTGTGTGTGTGTGTGTGTGTAGAGTTTACCTGTAATGGTGACTTTTGTCATAACAACGATTTTCAAACGTTATAATTGTGTGTCTATAAAACGTCATTGAATCATTGATCTTTGTCCCTCCAGCCCCGATCATCTCCGATGTGGTCCTGATTCCAGCACACTATCATGCGGGATCGTGCTATACACGTGTCTGTTGAGTCAGAAAGCAAGGGGAACACCAGCTTGTATCTTGTGGTTTTCGGAATTTTCAAGCAGATGAAAGTTTTAGTGGTGTCCGTCAGGGATGCCCATTATGCCTATGTCTATTCCATTTCATCATAGATGTACCAATGGACTTGACTCTAACTCACTTCAGAGACTCAAGGATTGACTTGCTGCCACCAGGAAATAATCTCGTTGACTAAGAGTATGCAGACGACATAGTCCTTCTAGGTAAGGACGCTGACAAAATGAAACAGTCTTCTGAACACATTGAGCTGCAATCTACGAATGTTTGGCATGCAATTCACTCCCGCTAAATGTAAGATGATGTTACAGGACTGGACCACACTGACTCCTAGTTTAGAAATAGGGGGTGAAGTGGTAGAGGACGTTGACCGATTCACTTATTTGGGATGTACCATCAGCCAGTGCCAACGGGTTGATCTCTGATGAAATCTCAATATGGATACAGAAGGCTAGTTTCGCATATGTCAGTTTACGCCGTCTCTAGCGTAGACGTGATATCCACCTGGCTATCGACCAAAGGGCGTGTGTACTGCTCATCAGTCCGCTCCGTCCTCCTTTTTGGCTGGCTGTGAGACCTGGCCACTGAGAGTGGAAGATATGAAAAGATTAGTTGTCTTTGATCATAGGTGCCAGCGTTCTATCCCCCGTGTGAGGTGGTATAATAAGGTGAGCGACATTGAAGTTAGGCATCGAGTGTTAGGTAAAGAGGGAAAATCAATCGACGAGGCTGTGAAGTTACATCGACTGAGATGATTAGGGCATGTGTTACGCATGCCCAGCCTGGTCATCGCCTTCTTTGACTGACAGGCAATGTTAGCTGACATAGGGTCAGGCTGGAAAAGAGCTAGCAGCAGTCAAACCAAAAACATGGCACCAGTCAATGAGATCTATAACAGTTAGCTTAAGCCACGTAGGAAGGGTGGTGTAGACTTCCTGACTGGTCGGGGTCCTCGGGATAGTAAAAATCAGTGGCTGGAGACAGTCGGTGATATGGCTCAAAATCGTCGTTGTCAATGGCTGACTGGTGCAGATGCATCCACTCCTTGTGACTTATGATTTCCAATGAAACTATATTATTCTTCGTTATTACTATTCCTTTGTCTCACACCTCTGTTTACTGTCTCTATTATGCATTTCTTCTGTTGCTTTGTGTGCTGCAAGGAAAGAGTGTGGTGACTTGAACTGCTGCACATCGGTGGAGAGTTCTGTGTCGAAAACAGACAGACTTATCGATACAACTGCAATTATGTATACTCAGTTGTGTGTGTGTGTGTACACTGGGTTCTTCCGATAAGAATAAAAATATGTTGGGACTACTGTTGTCAAGACATGTCAAAACTGTGGTGAGTAATCAAATTATAACTGGGGGTGGGTGAAGATTGGTAAGAGGGTAGTGGTGATGCGTTGTCAAAAAACTTAGGTATTGTTGTCAATCAGCACATAAAAGGTGATTAAGCGTAACACAAATTACGTAGTAAGATGAATCGTTTTTAATGAGTGACTTAGGATTACACATCTTCAGAAGATCTCGAGGTTTGTATGATACAAACGTCAAACGGTGAGGAAAATAACACATGCATACATAATTTTGTTTATTAGTAGAGCATTCGACTCTGCAGATTGAGAAGTCCCTGATTCATATTTCACTTCCTTCACTTTTCACTTCCAGGGTGCTCCAGTCTTGGTCAGGGCACTGGCTTCAAACCTGTAGCCAATTAGCATCGAACCTGTTGGATTCCGCCTTCCTGGCGTGTGTGTGTGTGTTTGTCAAGCTTTTAAACATCTATGATTTAGAAGTAGAATGTTTGCCGTCCACCCTTATGGTCCTAATTCAATCCCTGGTCGAAGTACTCCTAGGCCTTCCTTGTAGTGTGGCATTCATTGGTACTTATTTTATTTATCATTATTATTTAAAACAGAAAAAACTTGGTACACTGTGGCACCAAGAAAGATGCGCCACACAATGACAATAAAACAACATAGATCAAAAGTAAAAAAAAATATAAGTAGAGAACGGATAAAGAACTTCATCTGAAAGGAGAACAGTCATACTTAACAAACAGTTCAAACAGTATTCGTTAGCTATCATCAGGAAGGGAAGAAAGAAGGAAATTGCAACACGTTCGCCGCTGATGACTGCGATTCTTTACCATATCTGATAACGTTTCGAGTCATCGATTCGAGGTGTTTTGCGGACCCCAACCAGGGAGTCGTGACACACCAACCGATGCTAATCTAGCACAAACATCCCTCATCCGACGACGCCACGTCATGGACTGACCACCCCTCCACCTTTTCCATCCCGTCCCAGGGTTGGCTAGCGAAGAGAGACCTGTATGGAAGCCTCTGGGATGACATTCGCAGCACATGTCCAAGCTGGTATTGGACATTGGCATAAAAAACATCAAAAGCAAATGACACATCGTCGCGGAGAAACACGGGTGACGTGAAAGAAACACAATATGAAGGACAGATGTAGCACAACACGTAAGATCGTGCAAATGGTGATTTAAAGATAAGGTGAACATAATAAACATTCCTTTTCCAAGTTATTCGTCTTCTACCGTTATAGTATTAATCCCAAAGTAGAGAGAATGATAGGCATGTGAGGCTAGTAGTCTCATTCCCATAATGGAAACGATACCACCAACTACACTAAAATGTCAAAACTTGAAACCGTATAATCTACCCTCCCTCTCACAGACCCCTTGAAATGCAAAAAAATAATGATAACAAATTGATTTTGCCCACTTAACTTTTAAAAAAAATATTTTTTATGTTTATTTTTATCTTGTAGGCTAGTAGAAATGATCATTTCAGTCAACCTTTCCCATTGCATCAAAATATGATCGAGATTATGTCGATTCTGTGCACTGATGCATTCTCTCGTCTACCACATGAAGTGTTGCAATTACAATATTTTGAAATTATGACTAGATATGAACGGTATTTCAGCATAGTTCCTGAACACCTTTTCAATGTGATGGTAAGTCCTTCCTTCCTTTTTGTTTTTTTACATACTTTGCTATGAAGTACTTTTCAAAATAGAGAATTTATTTCTTCTTTTCTTAGTCCTCTATTCCAAGTGTGTTTAGAAAGTATATGGTAAAGTGCGGTATGTAATATATTAACTAAGCCGTGGGAAATTATTTATCGAATTGGATTTTTGATTTTCCCCTTTGATGTTAGTCGACTGACAGGATCAGGTTGGAAAATACCAAGTGGTATTATTATTATTGTTATTATTATCTTCTTTAGTTCCTAGAGGAACATAGGGCTTCAGCTGTACGTCTGCATTGCATTCGGTTCTCCGCCAATGTTTTCACCTGGCTCCACGTCTACCCACATGCTTTCATCTCCTCCTGGCATGACCTCATCCATGCCACTCTTAGGAGACCAACTCGCCGCTTTCCGTTCGGGTTCCACTCGAGCGATGGCCTGGTGTGTGATGTCACTTGATGGTTTGTTTTCTCGTACAATTGGTTCCTGGTTGGTTCTCTCCCATAGATGCCTGTCGCTGCTGGCCAACCATCTGATCTTGAGTAGTATTAAGCGAACACAGTTGTCGATGAAGGTGTGTAGTTTGTTTGAAGTGCCCTTCGTGACGCACTGGCCAAATCTCTGATCCCTGTGGTAAGTAGCACTGACTTGGCATTGGAGTTTAAAAAATCCGGATCTTATTTTTCATGCTGGGTAGTGCTGTTAATCTGCACACAGACTTGATAGTAATGAAATCTTGCCTTGCTTTCCCAATCCTCGCTACCTTGATATCCTCATCAGTTCCGTTTGCCTGTAGTTGAAACGATACTTCCGAGGTACGTAGGTGAAAGGGGTTTCTTTCAGATTTTTCCTACTTATGATGATTGTTGTCGGTTGTAGTTGTTGCTGTTACTGTTGGCCAGGAATCTTCATCACCTTTGTTTTCTCTATGTTCACCTGAAGTCCTATCCTTGATGCTTCTTCCGCCAACTTGTTGCTCTTCACTTGCATATCTTCCAGTTTGTTGGAAATCAGACATATATATGTTATCGGCGAAATGCAGATCCTTCAAGTTTTTTGTGTGGGTCCATTTCATGCTTGTTTCTTCATTGCCCCCCGTCTGTCGCATTACCGAGTCCACCGCAATCAGTTTATGAGATATTTAACAGTTATTTTGAACTAGTCACGTGAGAAAGTGTGGACTGCTCTGTCTGGTTGGGATCTATGGGATGCTAAGGACCAATGACGCCTGGAGACAATTGAGGATGTGACTCAAAATCGTTCTCAATGGCGTAGATAGATTAACTCATTTTCATCTGCCTTATCCATTGAACCCTCATATTTCTCCGTGTTACTGTTCTTCTTCAATGCCTTTCTTTCGTTTTTGTCTTCCTTTGTGTGTGCTATATGGAGTATGGCTATTCAAACTGCTGTATTCCTGGGCGAAAATCAGTCAGTTGATTGATTAGACCAAAATGTTGGGCTTCTGTTAACATATCGGCTCGTGGTACATACGCTACGATGATTTCTGAGAATCAAGTTGGACTAATTTGATACATGGTGACTAGTAAAAGAATCTTGGATGTTTGACATTTTGTCCTATTTATTCACTTGTCGCCTGGATGTCCTTGCATTCCCCAATGAGTGATGATATTTCCACTGGACCATCCCGAAATCATATGGATGGAGAAGTCGGTGGTCAGACCAATTCCGCTTTTCCAAGTTTATCTACTGTTCCAACAAGTTTGAATAATTGATACCAAACTCCAAATATTTCACGGCCGTCATTCCCCCATAATCTTCGACTGCCTAATCATGTCCAGCAAACTCCCAGACCTTACCCAGTGATAAAACGTGATGAAGATGAAGATCTAGCTCAAGCGGAAATCTATGCTAATTACATTCCATTGAAATTAAAGTTCGGACGGAAACATTCAAATCCTGTAGTTGAGTCAAGTCCCCTATCCAGCGTTTCTCCTCCAGATATACATTACCGCCTATGTCTGCCAGATGAAGTAATCGACCATGCATGTCTGTCAGCATTACAGTTGGAGGCAGTGGTATATGCCTATCAGCGTCACGAGTGCATCTTACCGAATGGTCAACGAGCTGGCTTTTTGATTGGCGACGGGGCAGTTGTGGGAAAAGGTCGCACCATGAATATTATTTACGACATCGTAAAAAGCCCATTTGGCTATCAGTTTCCAATGATCACAAAGTTGATGCCGAACGTAATCTACATGACGTATGTTTGGGGAAGGTCAAAGTTCATTCTTTAAACAAGTTTAAATATGCACGTATCTCTGGTAAAACTAATGGACGTGTTAAGGAAGGTGTGATTTTCTCCACATACTCTTTGTCAGTTGGCGAAAGTCAAGGCAGTGCAAAGGTGAAATACAAAACACGACTAAAACAACTAGTTCATTGGTTTGGAAAAAAAGTTCGATGGTGTGTTTGTATTTGATGAATGCCATCGAGCTAAAAATCTTACACCGGGCGGATCTCAAAAACCAACAAAAACTGGTTTAACTGTTCTTGAATTACAGAACAGATTACCAAATGCTAGAATTGTATACGCTAGTGCAACAGGTGCTATTGAACCACGTAATATGGCCTATATGACACGTTTAGGTTTATGGGGTGAAGGTACACCGTTCAAAACATTCAATTCATTCATTCAAACCCTTGAACGTCGAGGTGTAGGCACCATGGAGTTAGTTGCTATGGATATGAAACTGCATGGAATGTATATTGCTCGTCAGCTTAGTTTTCATGGTGTACATTTTGGTATTCAAGAAGTTCATATCGAAAATGTTAAATCGGGAGAATGATAGTTTTATTCATGTATATAATCAGTCTACCGATCTCTGGGTGTATGCCTATCGTTTCTTTACTGAAGCATCACGCTTGCTAAATCTAAACGATCGTTATCGTAAAACTATGTGGGGACAATTTTGGTCTGCTCATCAACGATTTTTCAAGTATTTTTGTATTGCTGCCAAAGTGGACACATGTGTTGAATTCGCTAAAAATGCCATTAAGGAGGGTGAATATGTAGTCATTAGTCTTCCATCAACTGGTGAAGCAAAAACACTACAACAAGTTGAAGAATATGGATCAGATTTAGGTGAATTTGTATCAATAGCAAAGGGTGTATTTTAGTCGTTAGTTGGAAAGTATTTTCCAACACCAACACAAATGTAGATAATTTCTCGCTTAGAGAAGATAAATTAGCATCTGCAGGTGATCGTATCTCTAGTACAACACTTAGCAGAGCAGGACATGCAACAGCAGCTGGTCAAGGCAGTGGACTTGGATTGAAAGGATATTCTTGGCGAAAAAATGCTTACCAAATTGGTCACCGGTGGCAGTTTATCTTGATCTAATCTCGATAGTGATTTTGAAGGTGGTAGTGGTGGTGCTAACAAGCCTGAAGATAAAGGATCCTATTCTAATGATAATGATGATGAACATTCTGAAGAATCCGAAGATGATGATGATGATTCTGATTTTAATAATGGTGTAGAAGTCAATGGTGGTGTTAATCCACTCGGGGGGAATCCCCATCTCCTTCAGATTACTATGATTCCGATTGATTCCGAGTTGAATTCATCCCTGGAAAATTCGAATAAAAAACGATCAAAAAAAAAATAATCAAAAAGCGGATGCCCGGCGCTCCTCACCGGGTTGACTGTCCATTGGATGACAGTCTAGGGGAGATGGCTAAACCCTGATTCCAAACCTCCAACGACTGGCGTATGAAGCTCACTGGAGCTCACCGGCAGACGCATGGACAAAGGGCTTGTTGGATGTCCTGGATGTCTGGCCCCATTCAAAAAGGCGTATGAACCGAACTCTGGTCACCGGCTGCCAATGGATAGTGGACTCCTTACTCCACTCCTACTGCCTTGTAGGTCACACTTGGCTGTGTAAAGGCTAGAGCTGTACTCTCAAACAAAAGGCCGAGCGACGCTGGGGACATCACTCGTACCAAATTCCCATGAAACTACATGAACTCTCTTACAAATTGCCGCGCCTGGGCAGCGGTGATTCGAGACGTTCATGAAGCCGGCTCATCCTCCCGTAGGAGATAGCCGAAGTAAAGTAAGGTAAGTAAAAAACAACAAAGTCAATCATCTGATAGACGTAAACAAAAGTATACACGTGATGGTGATTCACCGAGTGATTTATCTGATGATTCCGATGAAGACTGGGATCCTGATGCATTGTTCGACAGTTTTTTTTTAAGCTCGTAATATGAATTTATGCAATTTATGCACTGGGCTTTGTGTGCTGAGTAAAGAGTGGTGACTGGAACTGCCGTAGTGCATCTGTGCAAAGTCCTATGTTGAAACCAGTCAGTCAGTGAGTCAGATTGCGTTGGCTTATATCCTCTGCTTGTTTCCAGTGGTTTTAGGTATTCTAGCTGTTCCGGTTGAGTCCAAACGAATACGCATATAAAATACAGAAGTCAGATAATAATAATAACGGTAATATGATGTCATTACTTCACAGTATAAAATCTCTTTTTATTTTTTAAATTATTTTATATTGTCTTTTTCTTATTTATTGTACACTTGTAGAATGCTTTTGTTGACGAACGAGGCTTACATCATCCATGCAGTAGTGTTCGAGTACGCTGTGCTTATTTAATTAGTCGTATTATCAAATCTCATAGGTAAGTTGTCTTTTTTGATTAATTTCAGTAATCGCTTATAGAAAACAGTGATAGCGATGGTATAGCATTCAAGTATAGCCATTGATTGATTGGCTAACGTTTCTAACTGATATGGATTTTGAATCTCCAAAGGATCATGAGTTCATTACAGTTTGTGCAGATGTGCCTTGTTGACGAGTGTCCAAAAACACGAAATCCTAGCTCCAAGTCTCTTCCTTCCGATTGACGCCAGCCGTCTGGTGGCAACAATTCACAGTGCACTGTGATTGCTAGCCACCAAGTCGCATGATGGTGGCAGCTTGGACATGTGCTGCGAATGTCATCCCAGAGGCTTCCATACAGGTCTCTCTTCGCTAGTCAGCCCTGGGACGGGATGGAAAAGGCGGAGGGGTGGTCAGTCCATGACGTGGCGTCATCGGATGAAGGATGCTTGTGCTAGATTAGCATCGGTTGGTGTGTCACGACTCCCTGGTTGGGGTCCGCGAAACACCTCGAATCGACGACTCGAAACGTTATCAGATATGGTAAGGAATCGCAGTCATCAGCGGCGAACGTGTTGCAATTTCCTTCTTTCTTCCCTTCCTGATGATAGCTGACGAATACTGTTTGAACTGTTTGTTAATTATGACTGTTTTCCTTTCAGATGAAGTTCTTTATCCGTTCTCTACTTATATTTTTTTCACTTTTGATCTATGTTGTTTTATTGTCATTGTGTGGCGCATCTTTCTTGGTGCCACAGTGTACCAAGTTTTTTCTGCGTTTAAATAAATAATAAATAAATAAATGATGGTGGCCAGATGGCAAACTTGACTGATAGAATTCAGTCTGCACTAAACGAAGGACTAGGCACTTGACAGTAATTTCTACCTCGTGTTCAAACAAAGTAGTCAGTAACTTTGTCTAGGATACACCGCTTTTATCGTCTCTATACTTATGCTATGCATTTTTTGGTAAGCCTATGGCTTATAGACTTATGCATTCGATTCTAAACTAGTGGATTGCGTTTTCGAATTCAGAGTTCATCTGATGAAAGTCAGCCAAAATAGGATGTCGGTTTCTACAGAACTGTATGCCACTTGAGATGAGTAGGTATATACCATTCATATTGACCAGTAATGCCTGTTAGAGATACCCAGATCGAGATGGTCTAAACTCATTTTTAGCCTAAGTTCATCAATGGCGTATCTGGTTTGAGTAAGCTCGAAGAATCGAATCAGGTTAAACCACCTCAGGTAAAATTTCACCCCATCTTTGTGTATAAATTGCAGACTGTTAATCAATTTAAAAATTTCAAATTTGATTTGAAGTGTTGCCAGTCCACCCAAGGAGAGATAGACTGATTCGGCCCTCTGAGGAGCTGAGTCAAACTTATTAACAAAGACTACTGGTTAATGTGGGTGTTATACAACTACTCATCTCAGTAAATGAGTAGTATATAGCTTCATGCATTTACTAATTTGTAATTTCAAAATTTCCACAGAATTTTCACTATCGTTGTTGTGTCTAGGAGTTGTTAGGCATTCGTGTCCATTGTGTGGCTTAAACATCCTACTTCTAACCGACCGGTCCTGGGTTCAATTTTTGTCTATTGATCCTTTAAAATTTTAAACGATCCCTTGTTGTCCACCTCATAACGCGTATCGTTTCAACAAGATATCTGCTACCGGCACTATTGGAAGCGTTTATTATTCCCTTGAGACAAACGTAGGCTTTTTGGGGCATGTTTTCAAGATTCAAAGGTATGCCCTACTCTCTCTGTCCTCAGATACATATAAATTTGTATACGCAATTAGAGCTAACATAAGAAGGTTAGTTGTCGACTTCATGCAGTTTTAACAACAGAAGACAAGGGCCAGGCAACAGATCGTTTATTAAGGAAATCAACACATATTTATAGATTTTCATCTACATTATTATAGATTATTGTTAGCAGAAAAACAGTCTTCTGATTGGTTGTTGTTTCTCATCAAAAGTTAATCTTTCATCTCTTTGTGGCTGTTTCGTGAATGTCAGATCATCTATATGCTGACTGTATCCGCCTACGCAAAGCCTTTGTTCTCATTTTTCTCACAACCAATATTGGGTACGTAAACATTGACGTAAATTACTGTCTACCAACTTTGACTAGCAGCCAGCTTTCACCACACAGTAAGTGTGGTCTTTAACCCCGGGTTCATGATACAGCGTGTTCCATATATAAACTGAGTTCAGACAACACACGTGTATAACTCATCATCTAATTAAAATTCAGTTTTCTTGTTTATTTATATTTTCTTTATTTACTTATTTATCCCTGGCAATGCATTTTATCTTTTTCTTCACCCCCCCCATTCTATAATGAATAGAAAAACACTCCTTCCACATACAGAAGAATATCTTTCCCGGTTGTCCGACTTACTAGAATTATCTCTTGAACCAACAGACTGTAATCTATTAAACGGTGAAGTAGTAGGGGTGAATGGAAATGCTTCTTCTGCCTTTATGAATGGACATATCAATAACAAATCGTCTGTTAATCAAACTGGTTTAGGCATAACAGAACAAGGTTTTCTCTATGAAGCAGCAGCACAACTGATCGCCGGCGGCGGTGGTAATGTCGTTTCAGATGATGTTGATCGTATTGGCCAATTGTTCCGTGTCCTACTCACACCTGTTATGATTCAATATGATCAATTCGTGACAAAGTATATCACTGAACAAAATCCGAAATTAGCTGAAGTACGTGGAGTGCTAGTGAAACAAGTCACTGATCTTATCACGTAAGCGTGTGTTGACTAATTTTTTTCTCTTTTATCTGTCTGTTTTCAACATAGAACTAACTGTGCACCGATCCGCGGCAGTTCAAGTCGCCACACTCCCTCCGTCTGGCACACAAAGCAAGAGAAGAAAGTAAAAGAAATGCATAATAGAGACAGTAAATAGAGGTGTGAGACGAAGGAATAATAATAACGAAGAACAATATAGTTTCATTGGAAATTAAAAGTCACAAGGAGTGGATGTATTTGTGTCAGCCACCCATTGAGAACGATTTTGATCCATATCACCAATTGTTTCCAGCCATCATTGGTTTTTACCGTCCCGATGACTCCACACATTCAGGAAGTCTACACTTTCCTACGTGGTTGTCTGACTTGAACTAACTGTTGTGGATTTCACTGATTGATGAAGCCATGTTTTAGTTGGATCACCATTAGATCTTTCCCAACCTGACCCTATGTCAGGCGATGGCTAGTCATGCATGCGTAACACATATCCTCTCCATCTCAGTCGATGTAACTTCACAGCCTCGTCGATTGATTTTCCCTCTTTACCTAACACTCAATGCCTAACCTCAATATTGCTCACCTTATTATACCACCTCACACGGGAGATAGAACGCTGGCACCTATGATCACTAAAAAGCTAATCTTTTCATGTCTTCCACTCTCAGTGGCCAGGTCTCACAGCCAGCCAAAAAGGAGGACGGAGCGAACTGCAGAGCAGTACACCCGCACTTTGGTCGATATCCGGCCGGATATCACGTCTACTAAGCCAGAGGCGGAGTAAACTGGAATATGCAAAACTAGGCCTCTGTATCCATGCTGAGATTTCATCAGAGATCAACCCGTTGGCACTGGCTGATGGTACATCCCAAATAAGTGAATCGGTCAACGTGCTCTACCACTTCACTCGCAATTTCTAAACTAGGAGTCAGTGTGGTCCAGTCCTGTAACATCATCTTACATCCGATGGGAGCGAATCGCTTGCCAAACATTCCTAGATTGCAGAGCTCAAGGTGTTCAGAAGACTCTGCTCTATTTTGTCAGCGTCCTCGCCTAGTTGAGAAGGACTATATCGTCTGCATATACTAAGTCAGCGAGACTATTCTCTGGTGGCAGCAAGTCAATATCTGAGTCTCTGAAGTGAGTTGGGGTCAAGTCCATTAGTACATCTATGATGAAATTGAATAGAAAGGGGCATAATGGGCATCCTTGACTGACACCGCTAGTCGTCATCATTTCAGATGACAAATCACCGTAAGCCCTCACCTGGCTGTATGAGTACGAGTAGAGTGCCCTAATCAGTGCAATGTATTTTCTCGGAATTCCCTTTACAGCCAAGCATCTCCAGCGAACCTCTCGGTCGACAGTATCGAATTCTGCCTTTAGGTCAAGAAATATAATGATTGTTAGACGCCGGTAGGAATGCCTATGTTCTAGAATCTGTCGGAGTATGAGGATATGATCAATACACCCTCTTCCTGATCTAAAGCCTGCCTGGGTTTCTCGTGTTTGTGCCTCCCTAGCACCACTTAGTCTACGCATGATTATTGAGCTTAAGACTTTAGGTACTATATTAGTCAAGCTAATCCCTCTGTGATTATCACAGGAAGACTTGTCTCCCTTCTTGTATATCGGGATAATCAGTGACTTACACCAACCCGATGGGACGTCTTCTGATTCCCAGACGACGACGAGGTTATAAAGTTACATAGACTAAGATGGCTAGGTCACGTGGTGCGCATGCCTAACCACCGCCTCCCCCGATGGGCATTGTTAGCTGATATAGGTTCAGGTTGGAAAAGAGCCAGTGGTGGCCAAACAAAAACATGGCATCAATCCATGAAATCCTTGACAGTTAAACTGAGTCAGGTAGGGAGATGCAGACTCCCGGGTTGGGGCCCTCGGGACTCTAGGAATCAATGGCTGGAGACAATAGGTGACATGGCTCGAAATCGTTGTCAATGGCGCAGATGTATTCAGTCTCTGTAATCTTTCATATTCCTTTCTACCATTACCCATTCTGTTTCACTCTTATATCTGTCAAACTCTATAAATTCTCTTCACTCATCTTCTTGTCTACCTCTGTGCTATTTGGAAGGTGGCAACTGGAACTGCTGCACTTCGGTGCGAAGTTCTATGTTGAATCCAGACAGACAGACGCTGCCTACAACCTCAGTTAATGCAGACAGTAAACTGTCTCCACTGTACTTAAATACCTCTGGAGCCATTCCCTGAGGTCCCGCTGCTTTGCTTTGTTACTTTTCATCCTGCTTAATACATGATGTTTTGAACAAGAGACCACTAGATTATTTGAGCAAAGGAAGAAGAAACATTGGCGTGCAGAATAATCTGGATCCATTCTATTTTGTTGATTCTCATCAGCTACGTACAACCTGAATTTTTTTTATTAAAAATAAAAAAAAGTGTACAATTTTAACAAACCTTTATCAATTAGCAAGCATATTGTCAGAGCGTCATAGTAAAATAAGGCATTGAGATTTACAGGGTGTTTAAAGTGTTACGACGTATATATATATCCTGGTAGAGAGAAGTTTCTTGAAAAAAAATTGATTAACAGTTGTGTTGTAGGGGTGGTAACAAAAGAAAATCAGCAATAGTTGCGTAATTAGATAAGAGAAGATCAAAATTTTTACAATTTTGAGTGCACATGAGGTCAGATGAGAAGTTGATGATGTAACACAATGATCAGAACTCAGAAGATCAAGAAAAATTATGTCTTAAGAGAGTCAAGCGAAAAATAACGGGGGGAGGGGGTGAAAAGATAAGTTAATGAAATTAGAAAACAAAGAGAGTTACTAAGAAGTTTGTCTGTCTGTCTGTTTTCGACATAGAACTTCGCACAAATGTGCGGAAGTTCAAGTCGCCACACTCCGTGTAGCACGCGAAGCAAGAGAAGAAAGTATAAGAAAAGCATAATAGAAACAGTGAGCAGAGGTGTGAGACAAAGGAGGAGTAATAACGAAGAACAAAACAGTTTCATTGGAGATCATAAGTCACAAGGAGTGGATGCATCTGCGCTAGCCACTGAGAACGATTTTGAGCCATGTCACCAATTGTTTCCAACCATTGATTTTTACCATCCCGAGGACTCCAACCAGTCGGGAAGTCTACACCTTCCTACGTGGCTTAGACCAACTGTTGTGGATTTCATTGACTGGTGAGGTCAAGTTTTTGTTTGACCGCCGCTAGCTTTTTTCCAGCCTGACCCTATATCCGCTAACATTGTCTGTCGGTCGAGGGAGGCGATGATTAGGCTGGGCATACGTAACACATGTCCTAACCATCTCAGTCTTTGTAGCTTCACGACTTCGTCGATTGATTTTCCCTGTTTACCTAGAACTCTACGCCTAACCTCAATGTTGCTCACCTTATTATGCTACTTTACACTTTACTAAGAAGTAAATTATCAGGGTAATTCAAAGTCCAACAACGGATTCATTTTGGACATATAAGTCAGGCTTCAGTCGTTTTATTGCTATAGCTTCAGCAAACCTGAGAAGACTTGAGGTACTACTTTGTCTGTTAATTATTTTGAATGATTCCAGCACATCTACTCGGTGTCCTGTGTGTCAATCAGGTGTTTGGCGATTGAAGAGCTTACACAATTCGGTCCCTTTAACCGGAGGCTCCTTGGTATATGTTGGCAGAATTAGACGTAGGCTCTTTTCTCTCTGTTCTTCCAATGTAACTGCTCACGCATATACATGTAAATTGGTATACACAATTGAAGCTAACATATGAGAGGTACTTGTCAATCTTTGACTGCACCAATGAAGAGGGTGTTCGGGTTAGAGAGACTAATAACGCTGCAGGATACGTCCTAGACAGGGCTGCGCTTAATCCTTATTTACCATTCTCATAATGTCATCGCCCTTATAGTCAAGTTTGATGAAAATAGGCTTCTTACTGAATGTAGGTGTATCAAGCTTCTTCGGTTCATTCTTGCCATAATAGGTTAATGGAACTTTGTGGATAACGATTGTCTTCCAAGCATTTTTCAAGAAGCATTAGTTCATTGTCTAGTTTGTTTAGTGAACTTATTCTCTTCGCCCTAGAGAAAAGTGTTTTCACCAGCGTTCGTTTGTATCTCACTGATCAGAAGCTGTTGAAATTCAAGTTAAGACAACTCCATGTGTCTTAACGATATACAGATCTTTCAAGTGTCCTGTCGTCGTATTTTCTCTCCAACTTTACTTCCACAAAAAATGGAATTTTTCATCCTCTTCATGCCCCATCGTGAAAGTGATAGGGCTTTGTGTACATTGTTGAAAGAGTCTAATAGAGACGAAGTGTGACTCAAATCATTGCATACAATGAATGTGTGTGTGTGTGTGTGTCATCAACGTATCTATAGTAGGCTGTTGTTTCGCCAATTGCACACTTAAAGTGTTTATCTGTTTCAAACTGGCCATAAATTGTTTAAATTTATATAAGGGAATCATTGTGTATGAAACACTAGATTATTATACATTTATGTGTATGTGTGTGTGTGTCTATTGTAAACTCCAATAGTTAGTTAGTATGCAGGAATTTGATTGGTTAACGATTTGGTCACCAGCCGACATCACTTAGAGAACTATTGGGGAGAGCTGTTTCGTCAGCCTGGTTTGGAACTTTTCGGCAGTACTTATCCACTGTGGAGGACGGGAGGTTCGTACTTTCATGACCTTCAGGTCACAAGATGAGCTTTGTAGACCATTCAACTACTGGGACAGAATTCAGTAGCTCATGAATTCTAATTTCTGCTATTTTGTGATATATATATATATATATATATATATATATATATATATATATATGTATAGTACAATCACCAGGCAATGTCCTATAGACGAATGACTGTTGTCTTACCTGACTTGGTGGACTCAGCTGGTGGTTACAACTCCTCACTAGAACTCCAGGTAACTTCTTGTATATAAAGCCAGTCGCTATTGAGTATCAGACACTAATTGTGAAGTGTAGGGATTTGATTGTTGGGAGGTTTGATTTCGAGGTATTTGTGTTGACATGCCGTTAGTAAAGAAGCTTGTCTACTGTCTTAAGTCTTCAACTTTAGTTTCCTTCTTCCTTTACTTATTATATAACTGGTCTAGGTTAGAAAAGAGTTAAATTAGATGTGCGGTTAAATCAAAACATGGTAACAGTCCACGAAGTCTATGACAGTTGGTTTGATCCAGCCTGACTGGTATCCTACGATTGTCTGTCTGGATTCAACATAGAACTTGGCATCGGAGTGCACCAGTTCCAGTTGCCTCGTTCCAAATAACACACAAAGGTAAACAAGAAGATGAGTGAAGAGAATCAATAGAGTTTGACAGGTATAACAGCGAAACAGAATGGGTAATGGTAGAAAAGAATGTGAAAGATTACAGAGACTGAATACATCTGCGCTGGCCATTGACAACGATTTTGAGCCATGTCACCTATTGTCTCCAGCTATTGATTCTTAAAGTCTCGAGGGCCTCATCCTGGAAATCTGCATCACCCTACCTGACCGACTCAGTTTAACTGTCAAGCATTTCATGGATTGATGCTAAGAACCAATGGCTAGAGACAGTTAACTAGGTGGTGATATGGTTCGAAATAATTCTCAGTGGCGCAGATTCATTCGCTCCATGCAATCCTCTCGCTTTTCTATATTACTATTCTTCGGCATATTTCTGCATACTATAGTCCTTTCGACTCTCTTTTCTTTACCTTTGTGTTCTACATGGAGTGTAACAGCTCGAACTGTCCTGCACCTTTTGTGTACAAAGTTCCATGTTGAAATTCAGGTGGTATGTGTCACACTATCAAATGACGTATCCTACATGTCTTTCTATGACAAGTGATCATCCACCCAGTATGGAGATGTGTGTATTGTCAGATTTCAGCTTTTGACTATATGGATGGTTCATAGTTTCGAATCTCACCCCGCCTACTTGAGCATCAATCTTTAATAGCCCAGTTTTATTTTTTGAATTCAGTTCCCGGAATATTTCCGACTTGTTTAAGGTCGTCTTCCTCGTCTGACTGGCGTAGGGTCAGGTTGGAAAAGAGTCAGTTGCGGTCAAACTAAAACATGGTCTCATTGGTCAATGAAATCCACAACAGTTAGTTTGGGTAATGTAGACTTCTTGACTTGTTTGGTTCCTTGGGAAAAGTTATGCACTACTTACTACTGAATTTATGATGCTAGCTGCCTTTGACTCATGTTAATTAGTGTAATATGGTAAGCAGTATTGAGGTTAGATGTGGTTTGTTACGTTCGGGAGGGTTAGTAAATCGATAAGGTTGTGAAGCCTACATCGAGTTAGATGGCTAGGACATGTGCTGTGCATTTAGCGCCACCTCATTGAGCTGGAAAAGAGATTGACATTAATTCATTAAAGTCTTTAATAATTGGTATGTGCCACGTAGAGTGGTGTAGATTGCTGTTTGATTGAAGTCCTCAGGACGCTAAGAACCAATGGCTGAAGACTATTGATGATATAGCTCAAGGCTGTTCTCAATTTCGCCTATGGCGTATTCACTCTTTGTGTTTTCCCACGTTACCATGCTTTCTCCCTCACACATCTGTTCATTTATACTCCTTTTAAATGTCTTCACTGGTAGGTTCTATGTTGTAAAACTCTCTGAATAGTAGTAAGTTTAGAAAAACAGAAAAAGCTTTTGGATTCTCAAAGAAATGCGTTGCTCATGCTTGTATAATAGTATCTGTTGTACATTTTCATAATTTAGTGATGATGATCAAAGTTTGGATTCTTCTAAGTTCTTGTTCTTTTACAGCATAAAGCTGGGGGGGGGTTAGTCACTTATTTGGTAGCGCGTTAGGCAATTCACTATATTCGCGCGCAACTTTCACCTTTAAAAGTTGTTCATTTTCTTATTTTGTTTCAAATACGACAGTAAACGTTTCTTGACAACAAAAGAGCACAGAGAAGAACTACAAAAACTGATTAATGATGAGAGACTGATAGTTACAAAGCCGGATAAAGGATCAGGAGTAGTCCTCCTTCATAGAAGTGACTATATTGAAAAGATGAATGATATATATTGAAGGACACACAGAAGTTTCAAAAACTTCAGGAGAGGAAGGAATTCAATAAGGAAATAGAGAATGACTTGATTAACCAGACGTTAGAAGAAACTAAGAGAGGAGCAGGTATTTTCTGAAAATTTATATGAAGAAATCAGAACAACGGGTACGTATACGCCAAGATTATGTGGCCTACCTAAAGTGCATAAACTAGGGGTACCATTAAGACCAATACTTGATATGCGGAATTCGCCCTACCACGCTCTAGCTAGATGGTTAGTAAATATTCTCAAACCTTTGCATGAGAAGATAGTGAAATATAGCGTCAAAGATGTAGTTGAATTCGTAGGCAAAATAGAAGATATTAATATGAAGGACAAAACCATGATATCTCTGGACATAACATCGTTATTCACAAATGTACCTCTGATAGAAACAGTTATATACTATAAGTGAACAAGTGGACAAGCTGTCGATAAACATTGGCATACATACTGAGATCCTAAAAGAATTGACATTAAGATGTACCATGAATGTAAACTTCAAATTTGACGGCATGCTTTACAGACAAGTGTACGGGGTGGCGATGGGCTCCCCATTGTGTCCCATTCTGGCTGATTTCTTTCTCAGTAAGCTAGAAAATGAACCTTTAAACAATCTTATCAGTAAGCTCTTATTTTATTGCCGATATATGGATGACACATCCATCCTTTGTGATAATAATTCGGATAGGAGTACAATATTAAATGAATTCAATGAGGTACATTCGGTTATGAAAACCACCTGTGAAGAGGAATCCCAAAACAGAATTAACTGCCTACCTGCATGTCCTCCTTACAAGGAAACCAGATGGTAGCATGAAGAGAAATTTGCACAGAAAAAGTACTTGGACAGGACAATATACACACACATTTTCACAGCTTCATTCGTCTCCAGTACAAAAGAAATTTAGTAAAAACCCTAACTCAGCCACAGAGTCAGTTAGAGGTATATGCTCAGAAGAAGAAGAAGTAATTGAAGATGAACTAAGCACTGTATATGATACTTTGATCGAAAATGGCTATCCCGATAAATTTATCAAGAAACACATGACAAAGAAATCGGCAAAGGACTACTCACTACCTGTAAAAAAGAAACCTTATATACGACAACAATTCATGGGCGATATACCAAGCGAGATAATTGCGAGGAAATTAAGAAAATCAGTTCAAAGAACTTTTAATGCTGGCGGCGAACTACACGTCTTATTCTCTACACGACCGATGGTGATTCCTCGACTGAAAGATGAAGTAGCTAGACTAGACTAGCCACTTCAAATTGTATCTACCAATTTAAGTGCGCTTGTGGAGCGAGTTATATTGGCCGTTGCTCTAGGAACTTGATTTTTCGTGCTCAAGAACATCTCCCACTATGGCTAAGTAAAGGTGTAGTTAAAACCATTAACAGTTCGATATTGGACCATCTGGTGCCATAAAGCCAACCAGCGTGGAAGAATCCTTCTCTATAATCTATCGGGTGGCTAATAAATTGCCGAAATCATCGAAGTACCGCATGCTCCAAACAGCAGAGGCTATTGCAATTCGCCTCAAACAACCAGTGTTTTGTGTTCAAAAGGAGCAAGTTCAACCCCTACTACTGCCTTGGCCTTCAGTTGAGACTATAAATTCATGAATTTGTAATATTATCTTTCCTAATTTTCTGATATTCAGCTTATTTTACGTTGATACTGTTGAACTGTAATCTATTGTTATTATTGTTAATTCAATTTTATTTAAACAGCAACATTAATGTTGTTCATAACACTAATTCAATCATTCATTCACTATAATGTATATATAACTGTAGAGCTTTGATGATGAAGGGGTTATCGAATAGAGTACTCTTTATTCAGTATTCATTCTTTTGTTTCCTTTTTTGTTGTTGTTATTGCAGAAGAACCACCAAAGTGTTTTCTCAGCCGAAATCAGTTATCACTTCAGGATGTGAAGCTGTCTTAATCGATGCAATGCGACTTATCATTTCAGAATTGTCACGTTTCCCAACAGAAGCGGCTAGTCCAGGACGACAGGCTGCTTGTGCTGGAGTTCGTGCTTTCCTTCATCGTATGGTGGCGTGTATTATGCCATCGCCATCACCATCACCAGGGGAATCTGGGAACACCAGCAGTAGCAATTCAGTAACTTCGGATATGTTATTAGCTGCACTTGTCGACGCTGTACCCCAACTGGTTAAGCCTTTACGATCATCTACTACAAACGCATGTTATAATGGTGGTGGTAGTCATCAGTTATCATCGGATATTATGACCGTGGATGCTGAACAACGTTGGAAAGAAATTAGAGATGTTATACCACTTGTTACACAAGTACTACTCAGATTTAAGGTATGCGATATAAGGGATTATTTTTTTGAAATGTTTTGTAATCAGTTGTTTATTAACGCCAATTTGTTATATATTACGATAAACCTGTTTCACCGTTTCCATTGGATAAGATCTAATTAACGGAAAGTACAAAGTGGAAATGGGCGTGAATCACTTGTCATTTAAGGGGATACATGTGAAATGATAACAGAATCAAAATTATAGTAGGTGGTGGTGCAGTTAATCTTAGTATACATGAAAGTGTCAGCTGCTCATCCGTGCTCTCAATTTAACCCTAACTCACTTCAGCGACTCAGGGATTGACTTTCTGCCACCAGGGAATAATCTCGTTGACTTAGAATATGCAGACGATATAGTCCTTCTCAACTAGGCGAGGACGCTGACAAAATAGAGCAGAGTCTTCTGAACAACTTGAGCTGCAATCTACTAATGTTTGGCATGCGATTCGCTCCCACCAAATGCAAGATGATGTTACAGGACTGACTGGACTACACTGACTGCTAGTTTAGAAATTGCGAGTGAAGTGGTAGAGCACGTTGACCGCTTCACTTATTTGGGAAGTATCATCAGCCAGTGCCAATGGGTTGATCTCTGACGAAATCTCAGCACGAATACAGAGGGCTAGTTTCGCATATGCCAGTTTGTCTGTCTGTTTTCGACATAGAACTTTGCACAAATATGCGGAAGTTCAAGTCGCCACATTCCGTGTAGCACGCGAAGCAAGAGAAGAAAGTACAAGAAAAGCATAATAGAAACAGTGAGCAGAGGTGTGAGACAAAGGAGTAATAAAGAAATACAAAACAGTTTCATTGGAGATCATAAGTCACAGGGAGTGGATGCATCTGCGCTAGCCACTGAGAACGATTTTGAGCCATGTCACCAATTGTTTCCAACCATAGATTTTTACCGTCCCGAGGACCCCAACCAGACAGGAAGTCTACACCTTCCTACGTGACTGGCTTAGACCAACTGTTGTGGATTTCATTGACTGGTGACATGTTTTGGTTTGACCGCCGCTAGCTTTTTTCCAGCCTGACCCTATATCCGCTAACGTTGCTCGTCGAGGGAGGCGATGACTTGGCATACGTAACACATGTCCTAACCATCTCGGTCTTTGTAGCTTCACGACTTCGTCGATTGATTTCCCCTGTTTACCTAGAACTCTACGCCTAACCTCCATGTTGCTCACCTTATTATGCCACTTTACACGGGAAATAGAACGCAGGCACCTATGATCAAAGACAGCTAGCCGGCTTTTTCATGTCTTCCACTCTGAGTGGCCAGGTCTCACAGCCAACCAAAAAGGAGGACGGAGCGGACTGATGAGCAGTACACCCGCCCTTTGGTCGATAGTCGAACATCTCGTCTACGCCAGTTTACGCCATCTCTGGTGCAGACGTGATATCTGGCTGGCTGTCAACCAAAGGACGGGTGTACTGCTAATCAGTCTGCTCTGTCCTCCTTCATGGCTAGCTGTGAGACATGGCCATTGAGAGTGGAAGACATGAAAAGATTAGCTGTCTTTGATCATAGGTGCCTGCGCTCTATCTCCCGTGTGAAGTGGCATAATAAGGTGAGCAGTATTGAGGTTAGGCTTCGGTTGAGTTCTGAGTAAGGAGGGGAAATAAATCTATTGACGAGCCTGTGAAGCTACATCGGCTGAGATGGTTAGGATATGTGTTATGCATGCATGACTAGTCCATCGCCTCCCTCGATGGCGGGCAATGTTAGCTGACTAACATAGGGTCAGGCTGGAAATGAGCCACATAGGAAGGTGTAAACTTCCTGAATGGTTTGGGTCCTCGGGGCGGTAAAAGCCAATGGTTTGAAACATTTGGTGATATGGCTCAAAATCGTCGTTGTCAATGGCTGACTGGCGCAGATGTCACCCACTCCTTGTTACTTATAATTTCCAATGAAACTATATTGTTCTTCGTTATTACTATTCCTTTGTCTCACACCTGTGTTTACTGTCTCTGCTATGCATTTCTTTTTACTTCTGTCGCTTTGTGTGCTACATGGACAGAGTGTGGGGACTTGACCTTCTGCAGATTGGTGCAGAGTTCGTTGTCGAAAACAGACAGACAGATTGCGAAACAGTGATCCAATGGTAGGATAGTCGCTAACCACACACATATATGGTAGGGGTTTTGACCCTATACTCCTACCCCTCACTTAGCTGATAGTATTCCCGGTAAAGAGGTAGGGTTGGGTGTGGGGCCAGGACCCATCTCAACCTCCTGGAAAAAAATAAATACCACAGCTGCTGAAACTTCAAAGGTCAAAAGGTCAGAAGCTCTGTTTTTCATTCGAAAAGCAAAGAAATAGAAAAAAATAATGCTCCAACATATGGTGATCTTAGTAACAGTTTCGGATCACAAAGGCTCACATTAATTTTCCTTTTGTTTTCTGTTATCTATAAGTGTACCAATTTGGACATAGAGGATTTCATCATGAGCTTACATCAGTTAGAGTACCACTGGAAAGTCTGGGATTACTGGATAGTTGTTTCGTCCTAGTTTGGGAATCTTCATCAGTTCGCACCCACAGGGGTTCGAACTCAGGACCTTCTGGTTACAAGGTAAGCTCGTAGACCATTGATCCACTGGGACCCGATCCGATGATCCTTCAATTCCCAACTTCTGCCAATTCACGACATAGCGCGACCACTTCGCAATGTCTTCTTCGATGAGTTACTGCCTCATTTTCAACCTTGCTGTAGCCTACTAGTCCTCCATGCAATCAAACAAAAATCATTACAAAACGAATACTTGAAAATTGAACATATCCAATTTACTCAAGTGTTGGTTTGTAGGGATTTGATTGGTTTCCGGATTTCATCATGAGCTGACATTAGTTAGAGAACCATTGGAAAACCACCTGGGAGTATTGGACAGCTGTTTCGTCCAATATCCAATTTAACCGGAGGTGCCTTTTTAGGCTCGTATTTCAACATAATGTCGAAATGCTGTTGTTCAGAATAGTGGATTAGTTTTAGTGAAGATGGGAGTGAAACTAGACTGCTTATTATCGCCGCCGGTATTCCTGGGAATGGTGGCCTGAATCATGGTGCAGACTGTGAACCGAAGAGTCTAGAACATCTCGCCTTTGTGGATTATTTATGCTTGAATTTACATAAACTTGAATATCTTTAGACGAAAACCTATAAGTTGGGTGCAGAAACAATAAAGACAGGACTCCAGGTGAACATTAAGACGATGGAGGCGGTGAAGATAACCAAACAACAGCAGCAACAACATCAAGCACCAATCACTGTCAATGTAGATATTTGATAGAGGTTACTTCCTTCACCATAAGTAGTGTTGACGTTAGGCGTAGAGTGTTGGGCAAAGAGGAAAAATCAATCGACGAGGCTATAAAGTTACATAGACTAAGATGGCTAGGTCACGTGGTGCGCATGCCTAACCACCGCCTCCCCCGACGGGCATTGCTAGCTGATATAGGTGAAGGTTGGTAAAGAGCCAGTGGTGGCCAAACAAAAACATGGCCTCATCAATCCATGAAATCCTTGACAGTTAAGCTGAGTCAAGTGGGTAGGGAGATGCAGACTCCCGGGTTGGGGCCCTCGGGACTCTAGGAATCAATGGCTGGAGACAATAGGTGACATGGCTCAAAATCGTTATCAATGGCCAGCGCAGATGTATTCAGTCTCTGTAATCTTTCATATTCCTTCCTACCATTACCCATTCTGTTTCACTCTTATTTTTGTCAAACTCTATTGATTCTCTCCACTCATCTTCTTGTCTACCTCTGTGTGCTATTTGGAACGTGGCAACTCGAACTACTGCACTTCGGTGCGAAGTTCTATGTTGAATCCAGACAGACAGACAGACTTATCTGGCTAGGAAGCATATTGTTTCAACCACAGCTGGCGAAACGCATGAGTATGTCAAAGCCAGCCAGTCAGCCAGAATCGGAAAGTCAAAACCACACCTTCATCAATCTGGAATCAGTTGAAAAATCTTCTGCCATCATCATGAAGAGAAAGATTCGATTCTCAACATCAAGTTGCTTTTTTCTCTCTCTCTCTCTTTTGTCAACCTATACACAGGCCACATAGAGTGTGTGTGTGGCAAGTTCGACTGTTACACTTCTGTGTGAAATTCTCCTTGTTGAAATTTAGTTAATCAAGATATTTGGTATACTAAGTTCTAAGTCACACTGAGAGACAGTGGACTAGCAATACTCTAATTGAAGTATGCGCTGAAGATGTCGCCTAGTAAGTAGGGCGATGAAAAGCTTCTCATCAATTAACTATTCAGTTAGCTCAGAGAACACAACCATATCAAAAATGATTGATTGTGTCTACATGAATGTAGGAGGAGGTTTGAGTTGGGGACACTCCCATTTCATATCTATACCCCTCCCCAAGGCAATTCACTAATCTTTCACATGTAGAACACATTAAGCTTTATGCAGAACAATGGTTAAACAAGGCACGTTATACAATAACCCTATATCTAGATATATAATAAAGCGATCAATTGTTTTAATTCCAATGTATTTGCGCTATACATTTCGAACAATCTGATCCCTCATACATTTACTTGTCAAGTCAATATATATATATGGAAAAGGTAAATTAAACAAAGTGACAGAAAAGGATTTAAGAACGATTAACACAAACGTTTGGTAATCCAATCAAATAAGGATTACCAAGGTGGTAGGTTAAGAGTAATAACAAACTGTTTTTGAATACACAAGGGGAGCTTAAGTTTATGAATAGTTATAACCTCAGCGTATTTCAGTAAACGCCCTTGACGGTTTTTATAGATGACCTTAAGGGCTGATAATCTGGAAAAGTCTGCTACCCCACGATGGCAAATAGGAGAGGAAAAAGAAAACTATAAAACTGGAGTTTCGAAGTTGTGTGTGATTATAATTGATGAAATAACTATGAACAATGAATAAATTTTGTTCGAAACTGTGTCATCCAGTAAACAGTAATGCTGTTTCACTGACTGTGTGATATATCTAATAAACAAACTAATATGCAATGTCTGAGTTCTGCTTTTTTGTAGGTTATGCAACTTATTATGGTCAATCAACTAACTAACAATCGTCTAACTAAATGTCTATGCTCCACTAATTTAATTGACCCTGATCTATTTAGTTTGACCTATGTGTAATTGATCTCATAGTCACTACATCGTATTTATTAAATGACATTATTTCTCTTACTTGAATATTTCGGATCCTTAAAGCCAAACAGAGTTTATTCAAGTATTGGTTTTGTAGGGATTTGGTTGATTGTTTTCTGGATTTCATCATGAGCTGACATTGGTTAGAGTACCGTTGGAAAAGCTGGGAATACTGGTAGGTGCGTACTGATGAAGAGTCCCAAACTTGGATCGGGTCCTAGCGGCTTAATGGTGTGTGTACGAGCTCTCTAGCCTTGTAACTTGAAGGTCCTGGGTTCGAACCGTGGCGTTGGGTGCCTATTGACGAAGAGTCCCAAAATAGGACGAAACAGTTGTCCAGTACTTCCAGTTGGTTTTCCAATGGTTCTCTAACCAATGTCAGCTCATGATGAATTCCTGTAACCAACAGAATTTATCTTTGAGAGGTTTGGTTTGTTTAAATATCACTCATTCCAATCTGATTTAGAATCTTAATTAAGGCCTCGGATGTGTTCCTACTTTATGTGACAGTATCATTTACAGCCTCTTAAATGACTATCTGTTATCTAACACGTTCCTTTTATCATTATTCCCTTTATTTTGTAGAATCAAAGTATTCCTTTCCTATCAAGCTGTTTACCAGGTCTGTTGGAAGCTATCATGAATGCTTTAAATGAACCACTTCCATCAGATCAACCAACATTAAGTGAAGAAAGAAAACTTCTACGTCGTGGTTATCTTCAATTATTACAAAGTATATATCAATCAGTTCCAGATGTATTTTCACAGCTTATTAGTGAAAATATTGTACAAGTGAGTTGTTGTTTTATTCTCTTTTGTTTTCTGGTTAATATTTGACTGCGCTTATTGTCGTCTATTGCACGGGCGGTACATAAGAGCGAACGATTACGGAAGAGTTTATTACCGTAGTAGACAAAAGACAATATTATGGAACTATGACAAGTGAAGCAGAGAAAACTGCGGTGCAGTCAAAGGAGATCTTGCGACACTCTACCAAACAACTAGGTTCCTATCGGGGAAGAGATCAACACAAATTAAGCCAGTGAAGAATGACAGTGGAGAGAGTCAATCACTAAAGAGGTGAAGCAAAGGAAACACATGGGGCTGAACACTTCAAAAGACTTCTATATCGACCGCCACCTACAACGCACCCAATAATACCAACAGTGGAAGCAGAACTACCAGTGGGCTCCAATCCTCCGACGAGTGCAAGAATCCTGAAGTCAATAAAGATGCTTAAAACAGGAAAAGCAGCAGAACCAAACAGAATCCCAACAGAGGCATTGAAAATGGACCCAGAGACATCAGCGGATCTGACCATAGTAGAATAAGAGGCTATACACACAGTTCATGGTTATATTGATAAATCGCTAGTGCCTTCATGATACACGAATACCGAAACGTCTAACATCCTGAATCAGGAAGCACTTGACAGCTTTTTTGCCTTAGTTTGGATGTGTTTAGCAGTGCGTGCCTACGACTGCACCTCTAACGATAGAAACCTTAGGACCTTCAGGTAAGGAGACCAAGCCATTTGTATGTGGCGAACTCTACGTTGTACAGACAGACAGACAGACAAACGTATAGATTGTTATATATGAGCTCAAACGTCTTAGTGCTGTTGCTTTTGCTTGTATATGGATTTGAAACTGAAACGTATTCAATTAGTTAAATCAGTTGACTTTTAAATTGATATATACCGTTTTATCATCAGTGTTCTTCTGATTGTTGAATTCTGAGGAGTACATTTATCGTAGCATCAAAATGTCCCCGAATTACTTATTAGATGTAAAAGTCAGCTTTCACAGGTTGAGGTGGGAACGATCGATATTTTGTGTGTTTATGTGTTTGAGTATGATGCTGTCTGGACGCCCAAACTGAATTAGTTGGTTGTCTTAAGGGCTACCCGCCCCTCTCCCCTGTCAAAACCTTTAATTTGAAATGTGATCCAAAAGGTAGTGGAGCTGTGGTCACATGATTGCCGGTAACCAGAATGGACTCTTATACTACTCGATCAGTTCGGTTTTCGGGGTTCATCTTTTCACTATAGGTTTTGAATGTGGGTTTTCTAGCTGCTCCAGGTCAACTAGCATTTTAACTAGTCCGGTTGTGAGGACCAGGCGTTTCCATTCACCTTTCCATTTTTGTGGTGAAAACCCCAGCTGCTAGAGTGTAAAGACAGTGGATAGGACTTTAATTGGTAGAAGCACTTTGTATATCTTTGATATCAGTTTTGGAGCATTCAATAGTGGTCTTATTTCTGTCCTGACTCAGGACTGGTTGAACCTTTAGACGTAGTGTTATGAAGACAAATATTACTAGTTTCGTTAGATGTCAGTGCCACCTTTTATTATTATGAACTATTATATAATGGAAATCAAGTTCATTGGTGGTTGAAAATCAATGCGTTTGTTGTGTTGTGGAAGGATAACATTGCTTTGATGTTTCTTCAGTGGATTTTATTAGGTATATCTGGTGTGGGGACTCGTCGATTGAGTGTACCTGCGATCTCCAGTGATGGGTAGTCTTCTCACTGCGTCTTGAACCTAGTAGCCTTCTTTTCGGATATCGAAACGTTGTCTACTAAACGACTTGGGTGCGCCGGAGGCTCAGTGGTAGAATGCTCTCCAACCATGCCACACTAAGTGCCGTTTCGTTTCCCCTCCGTCGTACCCCTAGACGTCGCTTAATTCCTGGTTTTGAGTTTAATTTCATTGAACGTTACCTCAGCCATCCCCTTATGTCAATGGCATTTCAGTGGGTTAAAAATTTGTATCATTTCTAGGGTTAGTGGGTTCTTATATACGGTTACGTTATATACTGTAGTTATTGTTGAACTGGCTCCTTCTGCTCCTATTGATCACTGACGACAGACTTTTATGAAACTTCTAACCAAGAGCATCCTGAGCAGTTTAGTCTATAAGCAATAATGAAGATACGCAGTTCCAAATGTTTCAGGAATACAATCAGCCTGCAAAAAGACTCTATAGATGTTCTGAGTATCGCAGCTGATTTATGTCTAATTTCACACAAACTCGAAGATCTATCGGTGAAAACCAACAAACTGGCTGAAGAGGCAGGCAGAGAAAACAAAACTCAAGGTGAACATAGAGAAGACACAGCTGATAAAAGTAACCGACCAACAACAACAACAATAACCGGCACCAGTGACTGTCAAAGGGAAAAATTTGAAAGAGGTTGATGATGATGATAATGATAATTTGCTTTATTCCAAAAACAGTACTAATGATACAGTAAGGAATTTTCAGCATTCAGTACAATATTGCATCTAATTTACTCAACCAAGGGACGTGTGTACTGCTCATCAGTTCGCTCCGTCCTTCTCTATGGCTCTGAAACATGGCCAATACGCGTTGAAGACATGAAAAGGTTGACTGCTTTCGATCATAGATGTCTGCGATCTCTGTCTCACGTTAGGTGGTTTAATAAGGTAAGTAATGTTGACGTTAGGCGTAGAGTGTTGGGTAGAGAGGGGAAATCAATCGACGAGGCTATAGAGTTACATAGATTGAGATGGCTAGGTCACGTGGTGCGCATGCCTAACCACCGCCTCCCCCGACGGGCATTGCTAGCTGATATAGGTTCAGGTTGGAAAAGAGCCAGTGGTGGCCAAACAAAAACATGGCATCAATCCATGAAATCCTTGACAGTTAAACTGAGTCGGTCAGGTAGGGAGATGCAGATTTCCAGGATGGGGCCCTCGAGACTTTAAGAATCAATAACTGGAGACAATAGGTGACATGGCTCAAAATCGTTGTCAATGGCCAGCGCAGATGTATTCAGTCTCTGTAATCTTTCATATTCCTTTCTACCATTACCCATTCTGTTTCGCTGTTATACCTGTCAAACTCTATTGATTCTCTTCACTCATCTTCTTGTTTACCTTTGTGTGTTATTTGGAACGTGGCAACTGGAACTGGTGCACTTCGGTGAGAAGTTCTATGTTGACTCCAGACAGACAGACAGAATTTACTCAAAACGACAAAAAGTATAATAAAAGTAAACATTACATAATAATAAAACGTGGTTATAGCAGCTACATGGCAAATTACTGTATGCAATACGGAGAAAAATATGCATAAAGTACAAAATTGTACTAATAATAGTAATAAAAACTAAAATAAAATAGCAAAGTTATAATTAACCGATAGGAAGGGTGACACCATATAATGCAGAAAGATGAACAATGAAAGGGTCGATTCACTGTGCTAATTACATAGTAACTTATGTGTATCACGTCTAACAGAGTCTACGTCACATAAAGTACGGGCTAAATAGGGTATTGTAGAATTTCTGTACTTAGTGTTGTCTGTCTGTCTGTTTTCGACATAGAACTTTGCACAAATGTGCGGAAGTTCAAGTCGCCACATTCCGTGTAACACGCGAAGCAAGAGAAGAAAGTACAAGAAAAGCATAATAGAAACAGTGAGCAGAGGTGTGAGACAAAGGAGGAGTAATGAAGAAATACAAAACAGTTTCATTGAAGATCATAAGTCACAAGGAGTGGATGCATCTGCGCTAGCCACTGAGAACGATTTTGAGCCATGTCACCAATTGTTTCCAACCATTGGTTTTTACCGTCCCGAGGACCCCAGCCTGGAAGTCTACACCTTTCTACGTGGCTTAGACCAACTGTTGTGGATTTCATTGACTGGTGAGGCCAAGTTTTTGTTTGACCGCCGCTAGCTTTTTTCCAGCCTGACCCTATATCCGCTACTTAGTGTTACGAGCATATGACTTATATTGACTTCTCGTCCTACCTGATGAGATACAGCGGGATAGGTGTGAATAAAGGGGATACAGAGGGTCTGACAGTATAGCTTTTGCCCATTTTGTACAGGAATTTATATAACTCTCAACTATAGTATTGGCGAGCTCACGCAGTGGCAGACCAAAAGCCCTACTCACAGCATTTAATACTCTTCGTAATATGATATAGTCTTTTTTGAGAAGCCCAGGAAAGATTAATAGAGAGCAATAGAGTACAATAGGTAAAATACAGGAGTTTAAAAACTGCAAAACTAAAGTTTGGTTAATACCTGATTGTCTTAACTTTTTAGTGTAGAATGTAAGACGAAACATTTTCTTAGAGATTGATAAGATGTGGGATGTGGACCATGAAAGGTTAGAGGAAAGAACTAATCCAAGGTATTTAATGCTTGACTTGGTTTCAATTTCAGTGCCATCTATGCTGCAGGTTACCTTCTTCACTTACCTAGGAAGCATTATTTCAACTACACGTAGTCGATATGGATGAGGATGTCATTTGCAGAATTGGCAGGGCAAGACAGATATTCATTATTCTGATATCACTCAAGGGATCTGCTGTACTCAGAATAAAGAACAAGATTTGGATTTGTAACACTGATGTCAAGTCAGTCAGTGCTTCTCAATGGATTAGTGACTTGGGTCGTCACGATAACTTTCACTAGCAGGTTTAACACTTTTATCAACTTTTGCCTCTGCTGCTTACTAAAGATTAGATGATTAGTCAGAAAGGATTAGCAGAAAAGAACTTTTAGAACAAACCAACGAAAAACGTCATAGTCCAAAACATATCCCGAAGGAAGTGAAGATGGTTCAGACATAATCTAAGGAGATCATATATATATATATATATATATATATATATATAAAAGAGTATGAAGACTGAACCCATCTACACCAGTGACAACAACTTCCAACTACATCACCAATTGTCTCAAGCCATTTGCTTCTTAATACTCCGATGGCTCCAGTTAAGCAGTCTACATCTCCTTGTGTGATTGAAAACATACAGTCAAAGACTTCATGGACTGATGCCTCAGCATGAATACTAACACATGTCCTGTCTGTCTGTCTGTTTTCGACATAGAACTTTGCACAAATGTGCGGAAGTTCAAGTCGCCACATTCCGTGTAGCACGCGAAGCAAGAGAAGAAAGTACAAGAAAAGCATAATAGAAACAGTGAGCAGAGGTGTGAGACAAAGGAGTAATAAAGAAATACAAAACAGTTTCATTGAAGATCATAAGTCACAGGGAGTGGATGCATCTGCGCCACTGAGAACGATTTTGAGCCATGTCACCAATTGTTTCCAACCATAGATTTTTACCGTCCCGAGGACCCCAGCCTGGAAGTCTACACCTTCCTACGTGGCTTAGACCAACTGTTGTGGATTTCATTGACTGATGCCAAGTTTTTGTTTGACCGCCGCTAGCTTTTTTCCAGCCTGACCCTATATCCGCTAACATTGCTCGTCGAGGGAGGCGATGGCTTGGCATACGTAACACATGTCCTAACCATCTCAGTCTTTGTAGCTTCACGACTTCGTCGATTGATTTCCCCTGTTTACCTAGAACTCTACGCCTAACCTCCATGTTGCTCACCTTATTATGCCACTTTACACGGGAAATAGAACGCAGGCACCTATGATCAAAGACAGCTAGTCTTTTCATGTCTTCCACTCTCAGTGGCCAGGTCTCACAACCATAAAGGAGGACGGAGCGGACTGATGAGCAGTACACCCGCCCTTTGGTCGATAGTCGAACATCTCGTCTACGCCAGAGTCGGCGTAAACTAACAAATGCGAAACGAGCCCCTTGTATTCGTGCTGAGATTTCGTCAGAGATCAGCCCGTTGGGGCTGATGGTACTTCCCAAATAAGTGAAGCGGTCAACGTGCTCTACCACTTCACTTCCTATTTTTAAACTAGGCGTCGATGTAGTCCAGTCCTGTAACATCATCTTGCATTTGGCGGGAGCGAATCGCATGCCAAACATTCGTAGATTGCTGGTCAAGGTGTTTAGAAGACTCTGCATTTCGTCAGCGTCTTCGCCTAGAAGGACTATATCGTCTGCATATTCCAAGTCAACGAGATTATTCCCCGGTAGCAAGTCAATCCCTGAGTCGCTGAAGTCACCTAGGGTTAAGTCCATTAACACATCTATGATGAAGTTGAATAGAAAAGGAGATAATGGGCATCCTTGACGGACACCACTGGTCGTCATCAGTTCAGATGACAGCTCGCCGTAAGCCCTCACCTGGCTGTATGAGTACGAGTAGAGTGCCTTAATCAGTGCAATATATTTTCTTGGAATTCCCTTTACAGCCAAGCATCTCCAGAGAACTTCCCGATCGACAGAGTCGAATGCTGCCTTTAGGTCAAGAAATATAATGACTGTTGGACGCCGGTAGGAATGCCTATGTTCTAGAATCTGTCGGAGGGTGAAGATATGATCAATACACCCTCTTCCTGGTCTAAAGCCTGCCTGGCTCTCTCGTGTTTGTGCTTCCCGAGCACCACTCAGTCTACGCATGATTATTGAGCCTAAGACTTTAGATACTATATTAGTCAAGCTAATCCCTCTGTGATTATCACAGGAAGACTTGTCTCCCTTCTTGTATATGGGGATAATCAGTGACTTACACCAACCCGATGGGACTTCTTCTGATTCCCAGACGCTGCCTAGTACCTCAGTTAATCCGGACAGTAAGCTGTCTCCACCGTACTTAAATACCTCTGGAGTCATTCCATCAGGTCCCGCTGCTTTGCCTAGTTTCAGATTGGTGACAGCTTTAGTAACCTCAGTTAGTGACGGAGGACCTGTGTTTATATCCCATTCAGGGAGGTGTTGGATGCTCGGAAGGTTGAGCGTGGCTGTGGGCAAATTAAACTGCTCCTCATAATGCTCTTTCCAACGATCCAGTCGTCTATCCTGTGAGCTAATTATAGTGCCATTTTTTTCCGAGATTGTCTCACTGATGATTTGTCTTCTCCCACCCGTTTCCCTGATGAGTCCAAAGAGTTGCCTGGTGTTGCCTATCCTCGAAGCTTTCTCCATCTCTTTGGCTTTTGTCGCCCACCACTGTTCACGGTCCTTGCGGAGACTTTTCGTAAGTTTCCTCTTGTGCAGCTTTCGCTCCTCATTGAATTCGGAGCTCGCCGGAATAAGTCTTCTAGCATCTATCAGTTCGGATGAGGCGGTGGAGATCCAGTGGTTTTTACTCACCTTTGGGTTTACCTTATTCACAGCTTTTACAGCTGTATCTATGGCTGCCTGGATATTTTTCCAAGCTTCTTCAGGGTGAGCACAGCTGTCGAACACAGATATGTGTTTAGCTAGTTCTTCCTCAAATACGGATTTAGTTTCCTGATCGAGCTGGGGACGTGATGGTTTTACCGCCAGCTGTTTCCTACGTCCGTTCAGTCGTAAGCACACCCGAGCGCGGACCAGTGCATGGTCGGTATCTACGCACGTGTTCCAGAAGGAGCGACAATCTCCTACCGACCCACGCCAACGATAGCTTATTGCTATGTGGTCTATTTGTGTCCAGCGTTGGTTTGATGAAGGGGGTCTCCAAGTCAAACAGTGTCTCTCCTTGTGTTTAAAGTTAGTGCTTACAAGAAACAAATGATTATCAGAGCAGAACTGTAGGAGACGGTCACCGTTGTCGGTTCGCTGGCACGGAACTCCATAGGTGCCACCGACATCCTTCTCAGATTGACACAATTTCCCTACTTGAGCGTTAAAGTCACCAGCTAGAACGACTATGTCTGAGCGTTTAGCCTTTCCACCAAACTAGACAGCTTTTGGTAGAACTCATCCTTCGTTTCATCTGAACTGCAGTCAGTGGGGGCGTAGGCGGAGATTACGAAAAGGCATCGGCGAGTAGTGCAGTCCTTCCTCCTTCTTACTGATCCGTTCAGGCGGACAGCACACATTCGGCTATCTACCGGGATCCAGTCAAGCAATGTCTTTTCTGCCCTAGTACTCAAAGCTATCCCTACGCCAGCTAATCCTCGTGAACTAGCTGTGGCATCTCCTGACACCCTCAAGGTGAATTTTGCAGATTCAACCTGTTGGCCAGGTGGGGTTAGGTGAATAACCACACTTGGGTCTTGTATGCGTGTTTCTGAAACACAGCATACATCAATGGCTCGTGATGCCAGGGTCTTGGCTAGTGATGCTTGTTGTCCTATTTGGCAAAGTGTCCTAACATTAAGAGCTCCTATATGAAATTGGTGGCGCGGCTTTAAGAGGCTGTCGGTGGTGGTTTTTTGGCTTCCATCGTTTTTAGTGGACGCAGAGTGGAGAGGAAGTGGAGAGCTATCAAGTCGAGGAGTTGCATCAGTGGAAGGAAGGCAAGATGATAGAGATGAAGATGAAGACAAAGATGAGTGAGTAATAGAGAGGTTTCGTGTGCATTTCGGATTGTGAGGGCGATTGTTACTTCCCGGCTGCCCACACCGTGGAAGTTGGTTGCGTGACCGCAGAGCCCAGGGGACAACTGCTTGGGGCCGGTCACACATGTCCTAGCTATCGCAAATGATGAAGCTTCACAACCTCATCAATCGATTGACTAACTCTTGTCACCTAATACTCGACGCCTAGCCACAATATTTCTCATCATATTACGCCAACTAACTTATCTATTCTACATATGAATATGAGTTTCAAATATTCTTGTTTCATTTAATGAAGGATTTCATCATGAGCTGACATTAGGTAGAGAACCATTGCAAAACCACCTGGGAGTATTGGACAGCTGTTTCGTACTATATCGGGACTCTTCATCAATATGCACTCAGGACCTTCTGGTTACAAGGCTAACGAGCTCGTAGACCATTAAGCCATTAAGCAGCCGGTTAAAGATGAGGTTATAACTCACCGAAGAAGACATTGTGAAGTGGTCTGGCTATGTCGCGAATTGGCAGGAGTTAGAATTCATAGGCTGGTCATTGGATCGGGTCCCAGTGGCTTTTAACGGTCTACGAGCTCACTAGTCTTATAACCAAAAGGTCCTGTGTTCGAACTCTGGAGGTGGATGCGTACTGATGAAGAGTCCCGAACCAGGACTAAACAGCTGTCCAGTACTCCTTGTTGGTTTTCCAATAGTTCCATCGCCTCCCCCGGCGGGCATTGCTAGCTGATATAGGTTCAGGTTGGAAAAGAGCCAGTGGTGGCCAAACAAAAACATGGCATCAGTCCATGAAATCCTTGACAGTTAAACTGAGTCAGGTAGGGAGATACAGACTTCCGGGTTGGGGTTCTCGGGACTGATTCTAGGAATCAATGGCTGGAGACAATAGGTGACATGGCTCAAAATCGTTGTCAATGGCCAGCGCAGATGTATCAAGTCTCTGTAATCTTTCATATTCCTTTCTACCATTACCCATTCTGTTTCGCTGTTATACCTGTCAAACTCTATTGATTCTCTTCACTCATCTTCTTGTTTACCTTTGTGTGTTATTTGGAACGTGGCAACTGGAACTGGTGCACTTCGGTGCCAAATTCTATGTTGAATCCCGACAGACAGACAGAATAGTTCTCTTGCTGATGTCAGCTCATTATGAAATCCTCCAATCAACTTATCAAACAAATCCCTACAAAAGCCATACTTCTAAATTCTTGTTTCATTAACAGATTTTAAGCTAGTCAGCTGATATTAATATTTTATCATTGTAATCAACATAGTGGTGTTGGAATTAAAAGGCTTTTTTCATGGATGCGCTTAGTTACATAAATTAGTTATCATAATCACTGAACATTGAAATGAAATAATAATTTACTTTATTCTGTTGTTTAATATTTTGAGTTTTGCTTGTATTCTAATTGCTCCTTTTTTATTATCAACCTTTTTTATTTTCTCTTTTCAGAGTCTTTCCACAGTTTTAGGACAAGTTCAAGCCTGTCTAGAATGCGAGGATCCAGTTGGTCTACGCTCAGGCATAATATTATTTTTACAATTAATACAATCAGCTGGTCATGATACACGATTTTATGAAGATTTTCTACTGTTACACTTTATTCCATTTTGTATACTTGCACCAATCTCTCCTGCATTTCATACAACTGATGGTCAATTCATATTGATTTTAGATAAAATTTCTGAGTGCCTATATATTTTATCACAAAAACAGGTGAGTTTTTTTTTATTGATTGCTTGTCATGCTGCATATATCATTATTGTTACTATTGGTGTTATTATTATTAATTTTATTTTGATTACGACTTGATGATTCCACACCGCATTTTCGGTACAAGTATGGAATTCTCAGCATGTGATATCGGTAGCCCAAATTTTACAGGCTGACTATAGATATCAGGTGTGCGTCGACAGGGGATCGAACTCCTGACCATGTGCATGGTCGACGAGAGCCCTAACCACTGTACCACCGACGCTCAAGTCCCTAGTGGAACATAGGGTTTCAGAGGGACATTTCCGTCTAATTTGTCCTTCTACAAGCGCCTTCAGCTAGTTTCACTATTGCCCACAAAGCTATCACCCGCGGACACATGCTCAACTTGGTTTTGCCCTAATCGTGTTTTACCCGACAGTATTCCTGGCGCGTTTTTTCAATCAGTAGTCTCTTCTTCAGCTTGTGCCCTCCACATCTGCATTTCCTTCTGCGTATTTATTGGGCACTACTAAGTTCTTGGTTGGTACGTTTGGAACGACAGAAGGGCACCAGGCAACATATCGTTTTTTTTCTTCAGAAAATCAACAGATATTTATAGATTTTCATGTTCATTATTATTAGGATTATTGTTAGTAGAGAAGCGACGTCTGCTGGTTAGTTGTTTTCCTGCTGAAGGTTATTCTGTCACCTCTTTGTTTCCGTCCGTTTTTTAGACAGTCCGGTGATGTATCATATCTGCGAATCGTATCCGCCCCCGCTAAGTCTGCCATGATTGGTTAGGCTTTGTTATTGTTTTATCTCGTGACCCCGATCCGGGACGTAAACATAGACACGTGAATTGTTGTCTACCAATTTTGGCTAGCGAACAGCTCTCACCACACGTTGACTGACAGAGTTTCTTGTTAACTAATCCTTTTCAACCGGCTATCTGTTGTTCTTCAGGAAAGACAGCTGTTTGACAAAGTCGGCGGCTAGCTGTTGGAAATTGCTTTTGGTGACATGCAATGTTTCTAACCTGTTGATAATGTGAATCTTGTTCTGCTTAGCTGATTGCAGCAGATTTCCAAGCGGATTTCAAATTAATGAAGGCTTGTTTGGTTTTTTCTATCCTGGGTTTGAAATCCCCATCCGTGTTCATATTAGTTTCTTTATTAGATGTATGACACAGTCAGTGAAACAGCATTGTTTACTGGATGACAAAGTTTCAAACACAATTAATTTATTGTTCATAATCATTTCATCAATTATAATCACACACAACTTCGAAACTTGACTTTTATAGTTTTCTTTGTCCTCTCCTATTTGTCGTCGTCGGATTGGTGGTAGAATTTTCCAGATATCTGGGTGGACAGGTGTTGAATCATTCCTATTACACATGTTAGTTTGCAGTTGATTCGATTAACAAAGCTTCTGTTATCAATCTCTCCCTCCACCCTGCTGCTAAATTAAATTAGATTTTAAAACTACTGTCATCTTATCCCATCCAGCTTATTGTATGGTCATGTGTAACTGCATGTAGTTCTATAGCTGAACCATTCTCTAGATTTTTTTTTATCTTATTCGGGTCAACTAAACTGGATTTTGCTAGGGTTTTATGTTCGGCTAGTTTGACTGCACCTCTTCTACTAGTTTGACCTATGTATTCGACTTGACAATCATTGCAGACAGGATTTTAGATAAACTAAATTGTTTTGTTTTGAAGGCTCCACAGGATTGATCCCCTAACCAACAAAGCTAGTTTCTAGTTGAGTTTGTGAACTTAACTGCCACTTTCATTCATGCTTTGTTAAGAATTCTGCGTAAGGTGGTTTTCGAGGTTCCTTCTTTGTATGAAATACTACTGATGATTAGTTGACCCGAATAAGATAAGAAATTTAGACAATAGTTCACCTATGGCACTACATGCAATTATACACAACCATACAATGTAGGATGATGGGATAAGATGACAGTAGTTTTAAAATCTAATGTAACAGGCTGGAGGAAGAGACTGATAACTGACTGAAGCTTTGTTTATAGAATCAACTGAGAGTGAATACGTGTAATAGGAATGATTCAACACCTGTCCAGCCTGACATCTGGAAAATTCTACTACCACTCCGACGACGACAAATACGAGAGGACAAAGAAAACTATAAAAGTCAAGTTTCGAAGTTGTGTGTGATTATAATTGATGAAATGATTATGAACAATAAATTTTGTTCGAAACATCACCCAGTAAATAATACTGTTTCACTCTGTGGGTGTGATACATCTAATTAACAAACTAATATGGAATTACTTACTACTACCACCACAGTGCCCAAGTTTTACACATTTATTAATATGGCCCCATCCGCCTCGTCTGTTATGAAATTTATACTGTCTCAATGAGTGAAAAAGGTGTCCTTCAAATTTCTCTCAATATTAGTAGTAGTACTAGTATTCTCACTTATTCGCACAGTTCAATACTGCGTTAGCAACAAAATTATGTCTTGCAACATACTTCCAACTCAATAATGCGTAGAGAACACCAATAGGTTCATTACCCATATCAGGATTATTAGTTGACGCTGTCATGCCAGGCGTCTTTAACTAGTTGAACGCAATTGTCCGTAGTCTTTCATCTCCTCTTCACATGATCCCATCCAACTCGTGGTTCCCCATTTGGGTTCCAATCAAGGATACGCCCTTGTATGCCTCTATAGAAAAACTTACTTGACATTTATGTTGAGCATCTGAATCTTGTTCCATAACTCTGAAGAGTGTAGAGAAGATTTACAAAAACTGATTTTAGAGTAATGAAAATCTGCTTTACCTCTCCAGTTCTGATTTTGATATCCTCATGCGCTCGCCTCAGCCTGTATTTGAAACGATACTGCCAATGAGGGTGAGCAAAGAGATATTTTGGATATTTCAATACAATCGCATAATTGAATTACGTAGTTTCATTGTGAATTTGCCATTGGTATTTAACGTTTGTGTGTGTGTGTCGGTAGTTGAATGGTACAGTGTACGCCAAGCACACTCATAGGAGATCCGGGTGTATTTCCTAGCTGATAAACTTCTAAACCTCGGTTAGCTTAGTTGCCGACAGTATGCTTTGAGCAGAGGGAAGGTTAGGGGTATGAATGAGACTAGGAACCTCTTTTCATCGCTTCTGATACTTCCACTCGAAACGTTCTAGGAGTGAAAAATACATTTAACCTGTTTACTCTTGTTGGTATCTATCTATCTATCAATCGATTCTTTGATGTAATTGTTGTTTTATGTGTTTATTTATTTTGCTTGTTTTGTCTCCTTTTTGACAGGATGGCCTTCATACTTATTTAAAAGACTATTTTCTACCAAGACAACAATTATCTCCGGAATTGATTCAATCATATACTACTGCTCTGAAATCGAATCTTAAAGATTTTCAATCATTCATTAGGGTAAGTTATATTGACTGCTAACCCGCCTACCGTCTTCGCCGCTCCCCACCCCACCCACCCACCCGCCGTCGACTGAATCATACAATTCATAATTCAGATATCTGTATTCTAAACGGGTAGGACATTAACTGACAATAGGATGATTTGTTATACATACATGAGTAATTATATTGACAGTTGTTACTTTTTTCGCCTCTGCAACCACCTATCTTCCAGTATCGTTGATTAGTGTCTGTTCCCATGTCGGATTTAGTGGGCGTCGCGGTCACACTATATTTTTCGAGATTTGGTAGAAGTTAGAATTCATGGGCCATGAATAAATGTTCTCAACAACGTGGTTGCCCTTGTAATCTGAAGACTTGGCGTTGGATCCCTTACAGTAGGGTATATGATGGGTGGGTACTTCTAAAATGTTCCAAACTAGGTTGAAACAGCTGTCTAGTACTCTCTAGTTTAGTTCCCCGTGTAGTTCTTTAGCCAAGCAGGCAGGCATCAATCTGTGATGCAACCTGAAACAAACTAAATCCCTGTAAATTAACTCTGGAATATTAGATTGTTGGAGGCAATCGGCCACAGGAAGCCTTGCCGGGACCTAGGTTTCGTGCTAGTTGGCACTCACCAGTCATCAAGGCGTATCTGCAACCTTGAAGGAATTCATGTCTCTGACTGCACACGGCACTGAATGGTATCTGTCTGTCTGGATTCAACATAGAACTTGGCACCGAAGTGCAGCACTTCGAGTTTCCACTTTCCAAATAGCACACAATGGTAGACAACAAGATGAGTGAAGAGAATCAATACAGTCTGACAAGTATAAGAGTGAAACAGAATGGGTAATGGTAGAAAAGAATATGAAAGATTACAGAGACTGAATACATCTCCGCTGGCCGTTGACAACGATTTTGAGCCATGTCACCTATTGTCTCCAGTTATTGATTCTTAAAGTCTCGAGGGCCGCATCCTGGAAATCTGCATCTCCCTACCTGACCGACTCAGTTTAACTGTCAAGGATTTCATGGATTGATGCCATGTATAGTGGTGAGTATCTCCGCCTGTGACTGAATGGTGACGCGGGTTCGAATCTCAGAAGGTAGATGAGTTCCTGCTTCAAGATTGCAGATACGCCTTGCTGACTGTTGAATGCCAACTAGCACGAAACCTAGGTCTAAGGCTTCGTGCCGATTGCCTCCAACCCTCTAATATCATCAAATCAATGTGCACCGTGATGGCGAGCTACCTAGTGGTATGGTGGCCACAATGCAAACTTGACTGACAATAGAATTCAGTCTGCACCAAAGAAAAGACTAGCCAGACACATTACACTAGTTACTAGTGTCCGATCAAAATAACTCTGGAATAATTTTTGCTTAAGCGAAATATACTACTTCCTTCAGAAAGATTGATTATATTGTATTATTATGCTTTGTTTGTCTATTGGTTCTGTTCAAAATCTATATAAATTCTCTTTTAACTAGTTCAGTGTAAACAAATATGCCTTGCTTGTTTATAGCTGTGATGAAACCTGAAGCTTCTAACACACAGACATACATACACGCGCAGAGACATAAATGTGTGCATGTGCGCGCGTGTGTTGTATTCATTGATCTAGATGTAGACTTTGTGCAAACATTCATTATCTTTTTCATGTTTTCTGTGTTAATTCATGTATTTATTCCCCTCGTTATGAGTTTAGATAAAGCAACAAGAGGAATAACAGTGGTGGTTTGTGCAGAATAATAATATGTGGTACCATCATTGCTTAATTCATTGGCTTCTCATCAGCTGCTTGCTTACAGCCTAAATAAATTATGCGGTTTATTTAGATAAAAGTTTTAACATACTTGCAAATTTTTCATGATGTCAGTTGACATAAAGTTCCGCAATTAGTGAACAGTGCTCAGGAAATTGCACTTATATACATACAATGGTAAAGGAGTTACATAATAAAGGCGAGGGATACGTAAGATGCTAAGTGACTAATAAATTAGGTAACAATGTACTAAGTTCAACTCAAATCATAGAAACAAGAGACAAGCAAAGGTACACTATTTCAAAGTGCGATAAGGTTAAAGCCAAAGATTACGTCATCAAGTGAAAGAGCGAATAAGGACATCCGGTTACCAGTCAGGGCAAGGAAAAACTAATAACTGCTTATTACTGAACACACACACACACATTCATCTGGTCTCAAGCGTTTGATAGAAATTGCTTCGGTAAACTTGAGGAGAATCGAACTCCTTTGTCTATTGATAATTTTTAAGGATTTCGCGATTTCAACCTCATGATCCGTATCAATGAAATACCTGGTAGTGGCACTGTTATAAGTGTTTATTCCCCGCTGGGGACATAGATTTTTGGCACGTGTTCAGAAAATCGAAGGTGTGCCCTTCTTTCTGTTCTCCCAATGTAATTGCTCCCATAGATATACGTAAATTTGTATACACAGTTGGAGTTAACATGAGAAGGGTATCTGTCGACTTTTGACCGCACCAAAGAGCATATTGTTCGATGAGCAGAAACCAACTTAGCCAGTTGCAGGATATGCTCTGGCTAGTGACGTACTCAGTCTTCTGGTAACTTTAAAATCTAGTTAAATGAAAGCAAGCTTTTTTTCAAATGTGATTTTTTTGATGTTTGAGCCTTCACATTTTCGATATTTTTTAATGAATCTCTTAGAAGATAATCTTTGTTTTTCAACATCTTTTCGAGAATCGTAAATTCTTTCCCTAGTTTCTCTGCAGAGCATATTTTCCTCACTCTATATATTGCAGAGTCTTGATTAGTGCTCGTTTATAGCTACTTGGAAAAAAACTATTAAAATGTAAGTATTGTCCGTTCTATGTTGGCTTTCAATAAATTGACCTCTAGGGGTTTATTATCTTCTAGGCGTTGCATGGCAATGTCAAAGTAATAGAACTCTCCATCATTTTCGTATTCCATAGAAAATTCACTATTTGTATGTGCATGGTTGAATAGTCTGAGTTGTTAGGAGGCATGACTTTCGTTGTTGCACATAACAAATGTGTCATTGATATATCGACAGTAGGAAGTTGTTTCGTCAACTGGATGCTTCAACTTTGTTTTCTCAAGATTTGACATGGAAATATCTGCTAAAACATGGCTGAGTGGACTGCCCATAGATACACCATCTATTTGTCGGTAAAGAGTGTTGTCAAACTGGAACTGTACACACATAGTACACGTCAACAGTAGGCGTTTGAATTCCGACTCCGGTAGTGGAAGAAGGTCATAGGTGCCTGCGCTCTATTTCCCGTGTAAAGTGGCATAATAAGGTGAGCAACATGGAGGTTAGGCGTAGAGTTCTAGGTAAACAGGGGAAATCAATCGACGAAGTCGTGAAGCTACAAAGACTGAGATGGTTAGGACATATGTTACGTATGCCAAGCCATCGCCTCCCTCGACGAGCAATGTTAGCGGATATAGGGTCAGGCTGGAAAAAAGCTAGCGGCCGTCAAACAAAAACTTGGTACCAGTCAATGAAATCCACAACAGTTGGTCTAAGCCACGTAGGAAGGTGTAGACTTCCAGACTGGGGTCCTCGGGACGGTCTGTCTGTTTTCGACATAGAACTTTGCACAAATGTGCGGAAGTTCAAGTCGCCACATTCCGTGTAGCACGCGAAGCAAGAGAAGAAAGTACAAGAAAAGCATAATAGAAACAGTGAGCAGAGGTGTGAGACAAAGGAGTAATAAAGAAATACAAAACAGTTTCATTGAAGATCATAAGTCACAAGGAGTGGATGCATCTGCGCCACTGAGAACGATTTTGAGCCATGTCACCAATTGTTTCCAACCATAGATTTTTACCGTCCCGAGGACCCCAGCCTGGAAGTCTACACCTTCCTACGTGGCTTAGACCAACTGTTGTGGATTTCATTGACTGATGCCAAGTTTTTGTTTGACCGCCGCTAGCTTTTTTCCAGCCTGACCCTATATCCGCTAACATTGCTCGTCGAGGGAGGCGATGGCTTGGCATACGTAACACATGTCCTAACCATCTCAGTCTTTGTAGCTTCACGACTTCGTCGATTGATTTCCCCTGTTTACCTAGAACTCTACGCCTAACCTCCATGTTGCTCACCTTATTATGCCACTTTACACGGGAAATAGAACGCAGGCACCTATGATCAAAGACAGCTAGTCTTTTCATGTCTTCCACTCTCAGTGGCCAGGTCTCACAACCATAAAGGAGGACGGAGCGGACTGATGAGCAGTACACCCGCCCTTTGGTCGATAGTCGAACATCTCGTCTACGCCAGAGTCGGCGTAAACTAACAAATGCGAAACGAGCCCCTTGTATTCGTGCTGAGATTTCGTCAGAGATCAGCCCGTTGGGGCTGATGGTACTTCCCAAATAAGTGAAGCGGTCAACGTGCTCTACCACTTCACTTCCTATTTTTAAACTAGGCGTCGATGTAGTCCAGTCCTGTAACATCATCTTGCATTTGGCGGGAGCGAATCGCATGCCAAACATTCGTAGATTGCGGCTCAAGGTGTTTAGAAGACTCTGCATTTCGTCAGCGTCTTCGCCTAGAAGGACTATATCGTCTGCATATTCCAAGTCAACGAGATTATTCCCGGTAGCAAGTCAATCCCTGAGTCGCTGAAGTCACCTAGGGTTAAGTCCATTAACACATCTATGATGAAGTTGAATAGAAAAGGAGATAATGGGCATCCTTGACGGACACCACTGGTCGTCATCAGTTCAGATGACAGCTCGCCGTAAGCCCTCACCTGGCTGTATGAGTACGAATAGAGTGCCTTAATCAGTGCAATATATTTTCTTGGAATTCCCTTTACAGCCAAGCATCTCCAGAGAACTTCCCGATCGACAGAGTCGAATGCTGCCTTTAGGTCAAGAAATATAATGACTGTTGGACGCCGGTAGGAATGCCTATGTTCTAGAATCTGTCGGAGGGTGAAGATATGATCAATACACCCTCTTCCTGGTCTAAAGCCTGCCTGGCTCTCTCGTGTTTG